ATAAAAATATGATAAAATTATTATATTTTACAGCGATAAGTCTGTTCGGGGTGCCGTCTTTTAACCTGTATGACGAGGACTTTATTATTGCATCTAAACCTGCTATTGAACGGACACCTTGATTGCCTTTCAAGTAAAATAACTGTTCATCCCGTTCGTATTTTCGAATTATGCGTTCCTTTCCTCTGGATGCATTCTTTGCTTTTAGGCGTTCCAAGGACCGGTCACCGTTCTCGCCAAAGGCGACGAATAGTTGGATATGCAACTCAATGCAAAGAGTTTCTCGTCAGTTTAAGGCTCCCCGCGCACTAGGCAGCCAGGCTGCGGCAACCGAAATATTTGAGCAGCCAGTTATAGCAGCCAATCGACGCCAATTTATGATATTTTCGTCGAGCGATTTGGAATTTATTTCGTAAAAAACGCAAAGCAAAGAAAATACACTGAATTCATCCTCTTTTTCTAGAACAGCATTCAAAAGGCTTATTCATAACTATTTTAAAGATGTTTATACATACCCAGACTGGGTTTTTTAAATACAAGAGATTGTACAAGTATGCTGTGTCATATAAATAATATTTGGCAAAACATTATACATTGGCTGCTACAGCCAGTGCACGAGGACTGACAGCAGCCACATACATTCGCCAACAGTCTGGCTGCCTAGTGCGCGGGGAGTCTTAAGTGTCGCGATTCGATCCGAAGCTAGATTCAGATTTTAGCAAACTCTCAGGTTGAGCCCCTTCAGCTCGCTCATCAAGTGAAGTCTGAATAGCCTCTCGAGACTACTGGCGATATACAATGAAATTGCGGAACACAGATAGACGGCGGCTCTTAATGCTTTTTTCTTTACCACTGCCATTTAATTTTCGTGGCTGATTTATTAGACTTCTAATTTGACTATATTTAATCGAATACATACATAGTTTTCCAAAAATCATTTCCGACCAGTACAAGTATTGTTTTTCTATTGCCTGGGTGGGTGAATGTGCTTATGAAATCAGCTAACTAAATGCCGCCACCCACCTTGAGATAGGAGTTCTATGGCCCTTAGTATATTTAAAACGGCCGCCCCGCCCTTCAAACCGAAACGCATTACCTACTGCTTCACGGCAGAAATCGGCAGAGTGGTGGTACCTACCCGTGCGGACTCAAGACGTCCTGCCACCAGTAATTACGTAAATTACAAACGCAAACTTAGGCAAACGCTCCAAGTCCATAAAAATTTAAATTAACTTTTACGCTATGGATAACGTTAAACTCACAAGATGTCTTATCCTTTAGAGTTTAGACCATGACTTCAAATACAGACTTACTATACGGTATATACGTATTCTGTCTACCTGAGCTTATTCATAGGAAAAAGGCTTTTTTTTATTGCCCTTGTAGGCAGACGAGCATACTGCCCACCTGATGGTGAGTGGTTACCGTCGGCATGGACTTCAGCAATGACGGGGAGAGTCAAGCCGTTGCCTACCGTTAATTACTCTCCACAAGCCTCGTTTGAGGAAGAATATGTCTAGCGCTCGGGAAACACCGTCGAGGGGAGCTCATTCCAAAGCCGGATGGTACGTGGCAAAAAGATCTCTGGAAACGCACTGTGGATGAGCGCAGTGGCTTCAGGTAGTATAGACGAACTCTACTCCGGTGGTGGGCGGTGCGATGGTAAAAATGAGATGATGGTATCATCTCAAACAATTCCTCAGAGCAGTCCTCATGAAACATACGGTACAAAATACAGAGGGAACAGAAGTCCCTCCGCAGACTCAGAGGTTCCAAATGATCTGTGAGAATAGGCTGAATTAAGCGGAATACTAATATCTATAGTAACTACATAAAGTCAACAATGTAGTAATTAATTACTACTTACTTTACTTAAGTAAAGTCCTTACATTCATAACTTTTTAGTGACTCCAAAACTCATGCCAATTAACAAAGTTTGTTTTATTCGGAATTTATAATACAAATACGCAAAATTAAAGGCAGGCTAAAATCATGGAAAAAAAAAACATTGATATTATGGTTTTAGAATATATTTATAGACATTTAATTTCACACGTAATATTGCCAAATTATTTTGTGGTGTGGTGATCCGGTAACATCAGGTAGACGGTGAGCTCGTGCACTAATATAAGCAATAAAATAAAAAAGAAATTTACAAATGAAACATTCGCTCATTTTTATACGTTTGATGAATAAATTGGTCAATGTGCTCACGGCCTAACTAGTATGGTTATCGGAGAACACACTAACGACTATCGACACTCACCTTTGGGCATGAGGTCGAAGCATTAACACTGTGAAGGAAATTCATAAAATCCAATTCATTAAATTAATATAATTAATTATAATTTCTAATCTACATAAAAATATAGTAACATAATATAAAACACGTAATTTTTTTATAAAAATACCTTCATAATCGTTCCAAAGCGCTTATAACTAATGTCCTGTATCATAAAGTATGTGAAATAACACACATTAGTTTAAGAAAAAATATTTATCCTAAATAATTGATATCGACAGTAACATCGAAATTGTAAGATAAAATTAAGGAAATGCGTTGTTACATATTTTCTTACCTACTATCTTTTTCTGAAATAGATGCTAAAAATATCGGAACTACATCAGGCAGTCCTTCATTATTAATTTCGATTCAAAAATAAATATTTTAAATAAAACTTAGTTCAATGTTCCACAAAAAAAAACCTGTCTAGTTACTGTCAAATAATTAAATTTCATTGAATTTCTATGGATATAATTATAATTATACTCTATTTCTTGTGACACTTATTTTTTATTTTATTTTGAGATGCGACTGTGTACAGGTTTTAACATTTCAAATGGTCGATTTCATGATTTTGTATTCGGATAGAGAATACTCGCAATGCATAATAATATGACTTTTCGAAACTTTTTTAAATTATAATGTTTCTATGAGGGTATTTCTAATAGGTACATAAATCATAATCATATTTTTAAAATTTTACACTAATATCCGGCAAAGGTCTTTTGTCGTCACTATATTTTATATAAACGAGACTATTATAGAGAGGCGACTGTTTTTTTTGGTAATTTGAAAAAAGCTTTATTGGGAGGACCCGGTGATCTAAAAATAAAAAAATAAAGTTTTAAATATACTGTAAAATTGTGGTGAAATGAGAATGTAGAGTAGTAGGTTTAGGTGTAATCAATTTGTACTCTTATTTTGAAAAATATCTGTCCACGAAATAATAATAAGAAAGTAGTAACTATTATTGTATTTAGTATAATTTTTGGTGTTTGAGATAGCTAATGCCCCTTGAGCTAAAATGATCGATTTAACTTGCAGACTGAATTATACGCGAGTGTTAAAATAACATTTTTTTATAAATAAACATTTCATAAAATTTTAAGAAATAATAGATCAGAAAAAAGATACTGTCAAATCGTGGGTGCTAGGCCACAGGGTCCCCCCTAAGCAAAAAACAAATTGTCAGTAATATTGTTAAATAATCTAGTTTTGAATGATTTTATGCAGTTTTCAACCCCTTATGTGCCGGGATACTATTGTGAAGACGATTTTTTAATAATCCTAATAATAATGTCCAAGAGTGAAAGGCTATTTGGTTTAAGCGACATTTTTGCAACTTTACAAGAGACGTTTAAAGTTTAAAATTTGGAAATAATATATCATAACAAAAATACTTCTCCAGCTATTTGAATGGAGTAAGCTTAATTAAAGGTTTAAATAAAATAAATCGTGTGGCACTCGGGGACTGCCGCGGTAAAGCTATTGCATAGCATTTTTTATCAACTTATGCAATTATAATTAGACAATAAACAATTTTATATTAAAACAATAATAAGACCACGTTATATTTATAAACATTAACAAAAGCAAAACATTAACTGTCCCCTTCACACTCATAAGCTAGACCGCGCGAGAGAGAGATGGGCAGACTTTTCATGATGCATGCGTGCGACGTCATGCCGCGCGCTTATTCACAAACACTAAACAGCGCAACGTGTGAATGTGATGAACGCGAGCTACCCAGTAGGTGGAGTGGGGGTGTTAGGTTTTATTTTCGTTACGGAATTTCTTGATTCGGTCGCCGCGCTCAAAGCCCGCGATAAAAGCTATGCAATAACATAACATCGAACTGTTGATGCTAAGACAAAATAAATCGAATTTATAGTTACAAAGATAAATGTTGCGTATTAAGCAAAATTTCGCTTAAACCGAATAGCCCTTTCACACGTCGATGTGCTTTTGTTGTGTATCGTTTATAGCTGACACACTAAAAGATATCTTATGTATTAAGCGGATACAGATGAAAATGAAAATGACAATTTGATTTATAGCTCTTAATGCATGTGAGAAAAACGACTTAAACAACTCAGTCTTTGTTAGTGCCTTAAAATGTAGTAAATATACACACAAACGAATGATTTTTAATTCATTTACTCATATGTAACGATTATGGTTCCAATTGAAAATAATAGTAACGACCAGTTTTTTTATATTATAGGAGATAGACAAGAGAGTTGTTGAGGTTTGTATTCACCGAAACCGAAGTTTAAACTTGGACACTACTACTACTACTGCTACTACTGCTACTACTGCGCTGGCGCTATGACCTCGAAGTGTGTCTTGGCCTCCCACAATAAACGTCGCCATTCATACTAGCACTGCGCAACACCTTACCAATCCGACACTTGGAGCTCACGCAAATTTCATTTCACAGCATCAGACCACAGACAATACCATAGATTAAAAATAAATATTGCAAATTTTGCTCGCAGAGAGACTCACGACCATTTATATCTATATATTTTTAATAATAATTACATTAAAAATACTTAGAAAAGTTAATAATCATTATCATAATAATAAAATAATTTTGACACATAAACATTTACACGAAAAATAAAACACGGAATAAAATTGTAATAAAAATTATTTGGAAAATGAAATATTATGTAGTATTATAATAATATATATATACAAATATATTGTCCAATTTTCTTTTAATATTAATCTCAACTTCGTTATTGTTTTGAATTAAAATACATCGAAGCATTCTCGATATTTAAGAACTCCTTCCTTCTTAACATGGTATTCTAAATGGAAAATTACAGGAATGTAAAAATACATTACTTTGTGACAACTCTCTAGAAGAGATAATAACTCTCAATTGCATTATCATCGGAATGAAGCAACGGTTCATCTGCATATTTGAAACATGAAAATTAAAATTGAAAATAGTACCTAATTATAGAATTGTAATATTTTTTTCAACGAAAAAAGTTCATGAATTTATATTACCCATCAATCGCGTACTGTTCTAATTTTTACACAGATTCACAAGTTTAAAATATATCTTTTTTTTAATTAAAAATAAGTATGCACTTTAAAAAAATAAAAATAAAAATTTCTGAATAGTTTTTGTAGATAATAAGTGGAACCCGGTCCTATCGCCAATTGTATTAAAAACAGCGATTTCTTGAACGTACTCGCGCGTCACCTGTCGTACGTCAACAGAAACCCGACAGTGTTAATGACAACTGCACCAAGTTTTATCGAAATCGGATAAATGCTTTAAGAACACATACAAGACAAACATACACGTAACGATTTTATTTTTTTAGATTAAACGAATATCCAATGTTATTTTTGTTTTTATATTGACTTGTAACACTAACACCAGTATCTAGAGCTAGGCGCTGGAAGTTACACGGCTAAATATTTCTTAACTAACATAGGATTTTTTTTTAAATATAAACTATAACATAACATGTCTATTTCTTATATGTCTATGTGAATAACGTTCCGTTGGAAATTAAGAGTCTAATATTTTGAGAGCTAATTTCGCGGCGGCCCTCTTCGCTTGCGATTTGTTGATGCCGACTCCGTAGGCGGCGAGACGCTGGTCGTTCTTCGTGAACGAAACCGGCACCATCACCTTCGGGATGTCCGGATTGACGACTATTTGTTTTCTGTGAATATATAATTTTAATTGTATAATTTAACACTAAACACACCATAACGGGTCAAATGACACATTTTGAACTTTTGCATTGAAAATGCACGTATCATCTTATTGCTTTTGCACATTTGACTTCAAGACTTTTTTTTATCAATTAATCTACGGTTATTATACTTTTTGTTGTTGTTTTGTTTTGTTTATTTTGAGAAATACTTGTCGTATGCCGCTATTTTTTTTAATTCTTTTTATTGCTTAGATGGGTGGACGAGCTCACAGCCCACTTGGTGTTAAGTGGTTACTGGAGCCCATAGACATCCACAACGTAAATGCGCCACCCACCTTGAGATATAAGTTCTAAGGTCTCAAGTATAGTTACAACGGCTGCCCCACCCTTCAAACCGAAACGCATTACTGCTTCACGGCAGAAATAGGCAGGGTGATGGTACCCACCCGCGCGGACTCACAAGAGGTCCAATAAATCTATCTACCCGCTATGGTAGAAATAGATTTAAATCGATTAAGCGAATTAAATAACTGGGAAAAAATCACGCAGTCATCTGGCGCTGGTTTAAGATTTCCTGTGTTATGGGTACACAATGTTTGCCCGATGTGGGAATCGAACTCATGACCCTCGGCACAGCAGTCAGGGGCGCTAACTACTGCACCACCGAGTCAGTCGGGCGAGAATGACCCTTAATTTTATGTATGTGTATTTTCAAAATAATTGAAGATATCAGTGCCGTTGTACGTATTGTTACGCCATCTATCGCCGAACAGCCGAAGCGAACATGAAATGATCTAGTAACATCTAGAGCGCTCGAGAAGTACAACGCCATCTATTGTCAGACAGCGGAAACACACATCGAAAATACTCGACTTGTGAGGAATGTTCTCGATAATTCTAGGAATGTCGTATAGGCTATAAAAGCGTTGCAGAGATGGCACGAAGCAGTTAGTAATCGGAACTACTCGAAGCGAAACAGCGAAAGGAACACCTGAAGCGAAGCGGAAGAAGTGAATTGGGAATTTTAAAGTGTTCGTTAAGTGTTTTGAGCGTTAATACAGTTCTAATTTACACTTCGGTAGAACTTTTTTTATTTATATCGAACCTCAGCGAGTAACAGTACAACCACGAAACGAAATAGAAAAAAAAATACTCACTCGAAAACCGGACAAGCGTGTATCATTTCGTATAGAATTTTGACGGGCTGCTTCGGTATGCGTTTCGAGAACGAATCGATCTCGACGTGCATTATCTTGTACAGAACCGACCACACCGTCTCCAGATTCCCGCACGAGTCCAAGTACACGGCGCCGACTAATGCTTCGAAAATGTCGCTCAGCACCTGCGAACGATTACAACATAGAACCATTGGTATTGTCTGATTAAATCGAGTGGTGAAAGGCTTAAGGCTTGCCGTTTTCAATAACCTATCTGAGATAATATCTCCGATTATCAGTATGAGCGTATCTATCTATCCTTAGTTTACGTTTCACAATCACGGATAAGTGCTATCTATCTATAACCAACAGTAGATAGCTTCTTCCCTCTGATCTATCCGAGCCTCTGGATAAGTTTCGTTCTACTGCAAATACGAAACAACAGCAGGTCCAAGATTTATTTTATTTTATTCTAAACTAGCTAGCTGACCCGGCAGACTTCGTAGTGCCTCAGTCGACAAATAAAAGACTAAACTTTTGTATAAAATAAACTTAAAACAAACAAAAGGAATCCGTCCGTCGGGGAACACATCAAAGGAAAAACAAAATTGTTATTTTTATTTAATTCCGAGAATTTTCATATTTATCTACTTTTTAAACCTTCTCTGGACTTTCACAAATAATTCTAGACCAAAATTAGCCAAATCGGTCCAGCCGTTCTCGAGTTTTAACGAGACTGACGAACAGCAATTCATATATATATATATATATATATATATATATAGATAGATTATAACTATAATTTAACCATCATATCGTAGACCGTCATACAATACATTCATTTGTTTATAATAAAAAGTTATAAAACATATGTATATTTTTACTATACTGTTAAAATGCAGCTTAAACCATATTGGAGAAAAGAAGTATAATACCTTCGGTACATCAACATATTCAGCGACTTGACAATCGACTTCGCTGATAAGTAACAGAACGTCGAACTCAATCTCGTGGTTTCTTTCTATTTGATGTTCGACGAATTTCATTATCGCCTTCTCCAACGAAGGGTTCAGCTCCGAGCAGAGGTACCTGCGATGTTATTACACTGTTACCTGTATTTTCAGCTAAGAAGCAGTCAATCATTCCGGTTTCAAAATACAATTTGGACTTTCGACTTCGTGTATCGGGGACTAATTATTATTATTAGATGTGAAACGTATTATCGACTAGCTTTTGCCCGCGACTACGTCCGCGTGGAAGTTACTTTGGCATAACGCTAAATTTTACCCGCCTCTTCATTTACGCAGAAAGTGAAAATATTTTTAAATAATAGAATGTTAAGGAGTTATTTAAGGTACCAAAATCACGCTTTTTAACCGACTTCAAAAGAGGTAGTTATCAGTTAGACCATAATTTTTTATCTATGTATGGTCACCGATTTCTCGAGAATGCTTGAACCGATTATGATAATTCTTTTTTTTTTTTGTTCGAAAGGGTAGACTTCCCGAATGGTCCTGTTTACATCAAAATCTGATGACGGGATCTTGGAGAAATCCAGAAAATTGTTAAAGCCTATCTTGAAGTGATTTGGGTGTTTCAATGTTGTAATGAATTTATAATTTTAAGAAAAAAATTTATAATTGTTAAAGCCTATCTTGAATTGATTTGGGTGTTTCAATGTTGTAATGAATAACATATTTATTTGGATAGGGATTAATATGATCTTTATAAAAACACCTTCACAAAAAATGCTTTTTTTTAGAACAAATTTGTTTAACATAAAAAACGTTATAGTGAGCCAACCTTAATAAACAGACATATGCTGTCGCGGACTTTATTTGGATCTTTTAAAGGGGAACAATTCTTTCATACATTAAGTACTTTAGCAAAACTTTAACCGTATCCGCAGCGCACGCAGTGGAAGCTCTCAAAAGGGATTAAAACCCCGATTTTGAAACATTCTTTATTGGTGCTCCGCTTGCATTGATCTTAGCGTGATGTTATACAACCTATACCCTTCCTAGATAAATGGTCTATCTAACACTGAAAGAATTTTTCAAATCGGACCAGTAATTCCTGAGGTTAGCGCGTTCAAACAAACAAACTCTTCAGCTTTATAATTTTAAATAGTACAGGTAATAATAAAGTACTTGTGCAATCCAAGTTTGACGGTGTAGGCCGCGAACGTGACGTTATTGACGAGGGCGGATCTCAGATCGGTCATTTCGCCGGGCTTCAGTTCGCGACAGTTCTCGAAGATGTGCGACGTCACCAGGAAGTCGATTATGGCGTCCCCGAGGAACTCGAGGCGCTCGTACGAGCTCGTCAGTCTGTTCCGGATGTACGACGAGTGAGAGAGAGCCTGGAAACGATTTAATGATTGAGCTAATATTAGACGACTTTAGTTCACTGAGATTTTTTCGCCGATCTCCTTAAATTGGTGGACGAGCTCACAACCCAACTGATGTTAAGTGGTTATTGGAGCCCGTAGATATCTACAACGTAAATGCGCCACCCACCTTGAGATATAAGTTCTAAGGTCTCAGTATAGTTACGACGGCTGCCCCGCCCTTCAAACCGAAACGCATTACTGCTTCACGGCAGAAAGGGGCAGGGAGGTGGTACGTACCCGTGCGGACTGACAAGTGGTCCTACCACCAGTAAAAATAGAATAGATTCAGCGAAGCACTGCTCTAGCTAGGACTAGTATTAGCAAATTCTCTCAGGTTGAGCCCGTGAGCTCGCCTACATGTCTAGACATAGCTGAAATATCCCTTTAGTCTACCAGCGAATGTTGTTGTTGTTGTAGTCCTAGGGTACCCCGCTGGTACATAGGACCCTCACAAGTTGTCTCCACTTGACCCTGTCCTGCGCTTGCTCCTTGACATCACTCCAAGTCACGTTGGCAGTCCTCATCTCACTCTCCACGGTGCGACGCCAAGTGTGTACAGGGCGACCGGGTCTTCTCCTGCCAAGCGGTTGCCACTCAAACGCGATTGATACCGCGTTGACTCCGCTGCGCCGTAGTGTGTCCTATCCAACGGCATTTCCAATGGGCGATATCTTGCGCGATGGAGTTTTGGTCACATTTAGTTCAAAGGTCTTTTTTATTAGAGATAGTGACTGACCAGAATATGCGGAATATCGACCTTAAGCACCGAATAGGTAGGGAAAAATTAATTAAACTACTGCCATCAATGCCACGACCGAGACTTATGGCAGGATTTGGGGAGGCCAATGCGAAAGCAAAACAATCTTAGCCGATGTCAAATGCAAAGAAAAAAAAAAAAAAAAATTAGTAGTATGTACCTAAATATGAATTAATTGTTAATAAAGGCTTCTTTATCTTTATCTAATGTCATCAATGTAGACGGGTTGAGCTAATAGTTGAAATGCACGTAAGTCGAGCAACATAAAATTGACGACGAAAAAAAAATACAATTTTTTAATTCATTTATTAATTGATAAAATTTCATCAGTTTTGTTTTTGTTGCTTAGTTGAGTGGACGAGTTCACGGTCTACCTGATGTTAAATGGTTACCGGAACCCAGAATCCGGAGAAATAGGTGGGAGTAGTGGTACCCGCCCATATTGTAGACACGAAATTATTATTTTACTGATTATTACTTTATTATTATTACATTACCAAGACGTGTTTTCTCCACTTACGTTTAGCAAGAAGGTCGAATCTTTGAACGTGTAGTTTAGGATCTTTTCGACATCAGTTCTCGAATTGTTTAGTAAAAAGTCAATATCAGCTTCGGTAGCTAAATTCTTCGATAACGGCGTCTGCACCGGCTTGTGGAGCATGTCTGCAAAATTATCCTGTAAAATTCGAATACATTCTCAATTAAACGTCTTTATTTTTCTCTTCAATATAAATCTTGACATTCGATTTGTCAGGTTCTATTGTGAACATATTATTGTACAACGCCATATCTAGGGGCGAAAGGCTATTTGGTTTAAGCGACATTTCACCTAACACGCGACATTTATCGTTGTAATCAAAGATGCGTTTTATTTGGTACTAGCGACCCGCCCTCGCTTCGCTTCGGAAACTGTAATTTATAATTGATTTCTCCACTATTTAATGGATGGGTGTTATTATACATATACCTAAACCTTCCTCTTCAATCACTCTATCTATTAAAAAAAACCGCATCAAAATCCGTTGCGTAGTTTTAAAGATTTAAGCATACATAGGGACAAACAGATATAGGGACGGAGAAAGCGACTTTGTTTTATAACTATGTAGTGATTAGCATAAACAGTTCGATTTTTTATTATTGAACTTCAATTAAGTTTACCCAACTCAAATAGCTAAAGAAGTTTTTTTAATGATGTTTTTTGCAAATTTTAACCTTTATTGGCTCTCCTGTAAAATTGCAAGAATGTCGCTTAAATATTTGGTCTTTGGTTTGGCCTTTCACCCCTCGATATGAAAATGTTGAAAGTAGTTTTATAGCGTATTAATCAATCGTTCGCGGCGTTTTAGAGAGCGAAACAGCTTTGATCCGACACAAGGAAATTTCGACCTTATGTCTCGAGGTAGATTTCGGTTTTTTTTCTATTCGATGTCTACGGGATCCAGTAGCCACTACAAGGTCGATAATCAATAAATCGTCATTTGCAAATGAGTTAATACATTTCATTTGCGCACACAACTATTATTCGCAGTAAATGTCCTTCTTCAAACGAGGCTTGTGGAGAGTATTAAGCGGTAGGCAGCGGCTTGGCTCTGACCCTATGGCATTGCTGAAGTCCATGAGCGACGGTGACCACTTACCATCAGGTGGGCCGTATGCTCGTCTGCCTACAAAGGCAATAAAAAAAAAATAAAAACGTGTGCATTACGAATTATTATTTTAACTCGCTACATTTACTCAATGACGTCTCCGTCGCTGCCTAGTTATTACAAATGATGAGACGTGTGTTTTGTAAAGACAGTAACCAATAAACATATCTAAAAGACTAATGTTTTATCAGCGTTAACCATATTATTATTAATACATTGTATGTAGCAATGTTAGTTAGTATACTAAACAACAACTATGTAGGTTTATTACTAAACTATAACTATTAACAGATACTCGAAACGCCTGCTTCGGACTGGATATTTTTATTATGTATCGATGTATATTTTTAGGATCTTTTTTTATGTAGAAAGGATTATTGCTGTATTGCTGGCCCGAAGGCCTTTCCATTATTATTTTTTTAGAACCACATCTACACTATAAGTAAAGCGGCCTCTGTTTTTTTTTTTATGATTGAAAGATTACTGGTGGCCCGAAGGCCTTTCCAGATTCACCAGGACAGTTGGGCGAGCAAAGGCTCAGCCAGGAGGGGTGGGATTAGCTAACAACTGCCCGAGCGCCTCCGAAGGAGACCTAACAACTCAAGAGCAATTGCTTCGCGAATGAATCTACGACCGGATCGGAATCGCGACCCGCTGAGAAGATCCGGCGAGAAACTCAGCGGGCTGATGCATGGGTTAGGTTGCACGTCGACCTCTTTGTCGAGTTCGACGAGTACGGTTACCGGGCCTCTGTTTCATCCTATCCATTTGGATTAATTTGTAGGAATCTGTTTGCAACGTACCAACGCAGTTTCGATATGAGCTGATCGACTCCCTTACACTGCACTAAAACAACTCTAAACTCACTACTCTCTCTGAAAAAACGATGGCTGACCAGCAGCCGTGGCCAGATTTCATGATCATCATGAACCATCACGATCAACATCCGGTAGGCTCTGAGCCATAGAACGCAATACTTTTGGGTAATTATAATATAAAAATACACTAATAAAAATATGTAGTCAATGTATGAACGGGATCTCGAAGATGGAATAATCGTAGGATCATTGCCTGAAAATACATTTCCAAAGAACACAATATAGCCAGTTTAAATCATTTCAAAAAGTTTGACAAATTTTGATAAATAAATCAAAATAAAAAAATAACGGTTTAAATTAAAACGGTATTTAATTCAACTCGCGTGTTACCTGTGGCGGAAACACCTCCATCCATTCGAGTAGTTTTACAGCTGCTAATATCCCTCCACTAAGCAGATATGTACCGATCAGAGCTTCCACGGAATCTGCTATAGACTGAAAAATAAGTGATTTTTTTATACACATATTGTGCGTGTTTGTTATGTATTTTAATGTTTATGTATAATAATATTTGCACATCGCTTTTTGTGTGCATTATAACTTTATTTTTGGGTTTTTGATTGTCCAAAATTTATAGTACCAGATATCATTAATTTTTTTTTTTTAATTGGCCTAAACTTGAAGTTGTTGTTAGTTAATCGAGTCCCTGATTCAAGATATAATCTCAAGAGTGGTCATCGTAATGATTAGTTAAAGTCAGAAATTAGAAATTAGTGCATAAAAGGTTGAATAACGTACATATTTGTATTGAATTAAAATATAATATATTTCTCGTGATTTGAGTAAAAAAAGGTACCACTTAAAAAAATTAATAATCTTTAACTTAAAAAAAAAACAAATAAAAATCAATGCTAAATTCACATCAACATGATTTAAATGGTTATCTATAAATGTTATTAACTTATTAATAACTTTATACATGCGCGTGCTAAGAAACGTCCGTATAATTCTATACGTAATACCTATAATCAAAGTGCGCAATGGTCGATATTCCGACGCTTCGCACATTACACGCATTAAATAGAGAGTCGATATATCGAGGGTTCGCGCCTAAGGATGAAGAACTAAGACAGTTCGGCCATTCCTTTCTAAATTATTTTTACTCATCTGTTCATATCCGTCGCATTGGCCATCTATTGACCTCTAATAAACAAAAATGTTGTCATTAACGGTTTTGTAACGGTAATGTAGAATGCAAAGTTAATTAAACACTGTTTTCTATCAATGGGAATGAGTTTTCTTTTGGCGAAAAAATATTTTTATGCATCAAATAATTTATTTTTGTTCAAAAACACCTTCCAACGACTAGTATGAAGCTAAAATTAGTTTTAATACTCACACCGTTTGTGACAAGTGACAGTTACAAGGTCTACGAATATCAATTTCATATTTTATGGTTAATATATTGACTACGATGTGACTTGCATCAAAAATAGTAAAAGGCTCACTCATGCAATTTTAGTATTGATTGAACCTTCATGGAGGTTCAGAACTTCATAATAAGAATAACTACAACACAAGGATTTGTGTTGTAGTATAATTATAATATAATTATAAAATAAGTTGTAGTATAGTTAGTATAATTAACTATGACAACCGATTTACTAAAAGATGGTAGAAACTGAGGGATTGAAAGGGAAGGAAATCTTATTACCGTGCAAATTATTTACTGATGTAACAAAAAGATAAATAATACGCGAAGTTAGTACAGAGTTCAAAGATCAGGCTCGTTAGAACACGAATATTCTCAACATTTCTATACGCTGCTGAGACGTGGACCGTGCGAGATGTGGAAAGGAAGAAAATAGACGCTCTGGAAATGTGGTGTTGGAGAAGAATGCTTGGAGTTTCGTGGACCGATTTTCGTACAAATGTCTCGATACTTTAGGAACTCGGCATCAAGCAGCGTCTATTTGCTATAGTACAGTCTCGAATGGTGGATTTCTTCGGACACGTTTCGCGACGAGATGGCCGGTCCATAGAACGCCTCGTTGTACAGGGAAGGGTTGATGGTACAAGACCGCGCGTGAGGCCACCAATGGGGTGGACCGACCAAACTAAAACTGCAGTGGGAGGTCCCCCAAATGAGTGCAGTAGAATGGCCTCGAGCAGGGAGAGATGGCGGGACATCGTGAGACGTATCAAGTCTGCCCCTTCCAACCCTACATGACGATCACGACGACTCTGTCAAGAGTGACACGATTGAGAAGAAGAAGTCGAGACCGTTACATTATAAATAAGGAAAACATCAAGTTACGTCTGGTACGTAATAACAAGCGAACTTTGTAACTTGCCTCGTGTGTACATCGCGGTCGTGCGTTAGCATATTCTATAAAAATAAATATTATACGGAACCCAAACATTGGATAATAAAAAGTACATTGCTCCGGAAAATAGAAACCGGCACGTGTTGACGCGCCTCGACTTTTTTTTTATATATTGAAATCGGAAACAGGTTTGAGCAGAGGCATTAAGTTGTATAACAGCGTTATAAAAAAAAAGCACCGAGTTAAAAATAAGCTGTCGTTTACAGTATTTTATATTTTTTATAGATAGCCTATTAGTACCGGTCGGAGGTACCACTTGTTGTCAAGTGGTCACCACATCCCACGACGTCGTGAATGTGACCACCATTTATCTTGAGACTTGAGTTTGGAGTCTTATGAAGACTCAATAAAATAAAAACCCAGAGATTAAACAGTTAAAGTAATTTTAATTATATCTAAGGCTCGCGAGAATCGAAGAAAATATAATTTAGAATCCGTATTTTTAAAATACTATCAGATTGATGTACAAACTATCACATATAGTAGTAGTGAATGTTTCATAAACTAGAAAAAGAAACGATTGTTTTCCTCATAACAATATTTTTCGCAGGATTAAGTAAATACGATATTTCCAACAACGCGATATAACTACAATATTATATTATTATGATATACTACTACGTAGGCTTGTAGTGCGTTCCATCTACATATAGCAATATTTAATTTGAAATTCTAAACCAATCATAGATTTACCAGTGTTGAGTTAAGTAGTTGTATGAAAGCCTGAACCTATTTTTTTATAAAAGGTTTAGGAAGATTACATTTAAGTTAATAATTAAATTGCTAAATACTCTAATCTAATCGATTTTATTTGAGTTAGTTGAAAAATACGACGAATTAATAGTTCCGGGCCAATAGAACGGCTTTTCTGATCCTGACCGACATTACTAAGTTGAATTCGCAACTGACTAAAGTCGGAAAACCTCACAAAATTATTAAAGTTTGAGAAACAGTTACTGACAATACCTAAAATAATATAAAAAGGGGTAAAATAATATACAAAGGTAAATTTTGATTCTTTGGAGATCGATCACAGACATATGTAAGCAGCGGCGTGGCTCTGCCCCTGGCATTGCTGAAGTCCATGGGCGACGGTAACCACTCACCATCAGGTGGGCCGTACGCTCATCTACCTACAAGGGCAATAAAAAAATTACATGTGTGCAATTCACACGTGGTAGAAGTGAAACCTTCCAAAATTAAAATACAATTATCCTAAACGTCTTAAGTATATGTAAAATTTTGTCATTAGTAAATAATTGTAAGGTAGCGCCCTCTGTGAATTGATATTTTAATTTCACGTATAATTCTAAATTAAAATTCACTACAAGAGCTTTCATACACACGTTAGTATTAAAAAATCTCACAGATGGCGCTGTATTAAATAGTATGTATATTTCTGTCTCATTCTTTGCTGGCTTCATCCTACACATTTTTGTATTTGTGTCTCTTACCTGTCGTTTTTTCCGTTGCATCCGGTTTGAAATAACAACGATTCTAAAGAAGTTTTCACTTCAAAAAGTATATGATCTGATTAGTGCATCGAGTTTACTTGTAACTTGTAAATCTGACTTGAAAATCGATTCAGAGGTAAATTTTCCATGCTGATAAAAAAAATCGTGCACTCCTAAACTAATCTTATAACGCCATTGAACTTTCATGCAGTTTCGAGACAAAAATGATAAGATTTTTTGATAATTAATAATTTGGGTGCAAAACGAGTATATAACGCAATTAAAAAGTATTTATCGTGTTTTTCCAATTACTTTTACTTTGCGATATTTCGACTTTTGATAGTTGAAATAATTTAAAACAATCAAACACTATTTTTTTGTTACTGTAACATTTACAAAACATGAGAATGAATAAAAATAATCCATTTATATATACAACATTTAAGAATCAGCAGCAAAGTTAAACGGCCCTCGCTTCCTTGAAATAAATTTGTGAACGCAGGTTTTGTTGTAATCGAAATGTTTCGAATACTTTAAAGTTTTCGGAAGACTGTAACTAACGAAACACTAGTAATTCTAACGAGCTTTTAGTTGCCGGCTTAGCTTATTGGATGTGGGGATCTATGAGTATTTGTTGTGTCGCTTAGTTTTCAATCTGGTTGTAAAGTAAGTAGTAATGCATTGCTAATATTCTTCAGTACAGTGCATTTTTTATGATATCCTTTTTATTAGGCAATAGCGGCAAGCTCCGGCTCCGCTCGGGTCATTAACAAAAATTACAAAGACGTTGTTTTATTTAAAAAAATAAAAGAACCCTTATTGCGGCTTAACTATAATAGTAAGACAGACAGATAGATGCTGTCGCGACACTTTTTGTAAATAATAATGTGTACATTATTTTATTCTATCATGAATAGTTTTCGCAGGGCACACGATGTAAAGAATATTTTAGGTAATTTTTTTAAACGGTTACATTATTGGATTTTTAGTAAGGATCCCTAATTTAAATATATATCCTATGTCACTCGGGAATAGTGTAGTTTCTAAATAGTGAAAGAATTTTTCAAATCGGTTCTGTAGTTTCGGAGCCTATTCAATACAAACAAACAAACAAATCTTTCCTCTTTATAATATTATTAGTATAGATTATGTCTACGGATCTACGAGAAAATACTATGAAAAAAATATCATTCACGGATCAGTGTCCAATAGACGTTTGTAACCACAAAAACTCAACAAAACACTGTCGTCGTCGTGGCCTAAAGGATAAAACGTCCGGTGCATTCGTGTTGAGCGATGCACCGAAGTTTCAATCTCAGGCGTGTACCAATTTTTCTAATGAAATACGTATTCAACAAATGTTCATGATTGACTTCCACGGTGAAGGAATAACATCGTGTGATAAAAATCAAACTTGCAAAATTATAATCTGCGTAATTACTGGTGGTAGGACCTCTTGTGAGTCCACGCGGGTAGGTAACACCGCCTTGCCTATTTCTGCCGTAAAGCAGTAATGCGTTTCGGTCTGAAGGGTAGGGCAGCCGTTGTAACTATACTGAGATCTTAGAACTTATATCCCAAGGTGGGTGGCGCATTTACGTTGTAGATGTCTATGGGCTCCAGTAACCACTTAACACCAGGTGGGATGTGAGCTCGTCCACCCATCTAAGCAATAAAAAATAAAAAAATAAAACTAACGTTCGTCTAATTTTGAATCATAGTAACGTGTTTCTTTACAAAAGAAAATTAAAGAAATTCTTACTTTGTCCGCAACTGCTTGTGAATGTACATAGCATTGCATAGAATTTTGGGCACAGCCTTCGGGTTCTGACTCAGCGATGCCATTTTGGAAATTATTCATCACAGATTCCCAGCTTTCTTCACTTAATTCACCGGTCATTACTTCCTCTTCGGTGAACTGTATGCCGATTAAGAATGTTGGACGAATCTGTGAAACAAAAAATATTTTTAATTCATATTATTAAAAAAAAATTTTAAAGTAAGCATTTTTCAAAAAAACAGACATCCCACCGATATGAGCTTGAGCATAGAATTAGACCTAGAACTTGTAACGCCTCGCATTAGCAATTAACGTAATATGTAGTTAAACGGCTCGTCTGTGCATTGATTACAAAAGATGAACTATTTGTTCGTCTTATATGTTATGTATAGGTAATATTAGTACGTAATAAACATTAGTTACATAATTTTAATAGACCAACTAGAAAAAAAAAAGCCACCGGCCTCACATATCTTTAATGATTATTTGATTAAGATAAGCAATAGAAAAATATTAGACAATGACTTCAAGAAAAAACAAAAGAACTCGTATTGAAAGAAAAAAAAAATACATTGATTAATACAAACATTCCGCATACGCATAGTTTTTATCTAAGCCGTGTGGTAATAATGTTTTTATGTAAATCAATCCTTTTATTCTTGGGTGATATGGAATCAATTGAAAATCAGTAATCAGTTGTTCTTTAAAGCGCTGATAAGACCACGTGTACGTGCATAAAAAGCGTTGTGCGGACACGAGTCTTCAAGGAAATTGTTTTATTGCTTAGACGAGCGAAATATCGCCACTCACCTCGAGACATGAGTTCAAGTCTCAATTCTATAGAACAACGGATGCCCTACCCTTGAAACCGGTAGTAATTGGCGAAAGAAATTGGCTTAATTGTGGTAACTACCGATGGTGTCGAACGAGATGCTCCATCACTAGGAAGGTACGGTAAAGTACCTACCCCCATATTTCCTATCTCGTTATGAAAACTATCATCCTAGTAAATTCTGCCGCGAAGCAGCGATCCAGTTTAAAGACGGACAGGACAGTCGTTCTACAGTACAATTGAGACTTCTGCCTCATTCATGTCTCAAGATGGATGGCGTCATTCACATTGTAATGTCTATTATTTCAACAATAAATAAGGTAAACTAATACTGAACAACACAAAAAAATATTTATTAGATAATAACGTTTCGGAAGACGAAACGGTATTAATTTCTGCACCGACGACGTAAGTGAAAAGAAATATTAATTTACATAAACATATATCGTTCTAATGTTTATAAGTTTATATAAATTTCATAAATGTGCCGAGTAATACAAAGGTGTCTTGGTGACGCCCGTCCGCTTCAAACGAGGCCGTGGGCTGTATGTAACCAGTACTAACTACCCGCTACCCACCTATCGTTGTTTTCGGGAAAATCTCGACAAATACTTGTACATAGATATTTAAATTTGAACTATGTTCAAGCTCAGATCTCCTTCAGGCATGATGGAATTAAGAAAACCGTCTATTGTCATATTCCAGACAAGAAACAAAATGTGTTCCGACATAGATTTTGAAACATTTTTTTGCTCAATAAAAGTTCATAGTTCACTTCATTGCCCTTTTAGGCAGACGAGCATACGGCCCACCTGATGGTGAGTGGTTACCGTCGCCCATGGACTTCAGCAATGCCAGGGGCAGAGCCAAGCCGCTGCCTACCGTTTAAAAAATTACTATCTCAATTAAAAAAACTCCCGCCTCGTCCTTGTTTTCATTTGTTTCTGCATCAAAACTGATAAATAGGGAAGTGCTGTGTTGAATATCCATACTATTATTTAAGGATGGTTCACACTGGCTAAGCGATGTGAAACCACGGAACGATGACCTCTTCCTTGCAAGAGGACGACCAAAGTTTGACAAACAAATTAACGCGTTTAGTAGAGCTGCATTGTCGATTGACAAAATTCATTAGCCTTTAACGGTTTTAGAATTAATTTTAGTAGATTTAACTCTCGCAATATCTATACTCATATTATAAATGCGAATGTTTGTTACTCAATCATTCAGAAATTCCTGATCGGATTTAAATGAAATTTCACACTAAGAATTTTTACAACCTGGATGTTACTCTAGTAATATTTTATCATGGTAAATGAGATGGCCCGGCGAGACCTGGCATATATGCTACTTTACTGTCAGTAGCTTCAAGAGACTATTCGCTTTGATAGATGGGTGAGGTCACGGGGCTCAGCTGGAGAGAATTTGCCCTAGCAAGAGCAGTGCTTCGCTGAATCTACTACCGGGTCGGAAACGCGACCCACTGAGAAGGTCCGACTCGAAATTCAGTGGGTTGTGCTATAAATGTTAGTTCACTGTTTCGTGTTGTTTACGTACCAACGGATCTACAAATCGACTGGTATAAATAAACCACATAGTGAAACAAGTAACTTTTTAAATAAATAAAATAAATAAATATATTGCATTATTTCTGAATTACAACAAACCTTAAGCCTTAGAGTAATAATACAGCATATTATTTCTATGCCTCAAACTTATTCAATTTCTTTTAAATTGTAATTGTGCCATACCGGCATAAAAATGAATGACGCGTTAGTTCGTCATTTTACTGAAAACGTTATTAAATATTCACTATGAAATGCTTCTTAGTCATAAGCGCTGTCCCCATTCTTTCGTCTCGACGTTCGACGTGACAGACCGCCGCTATCTTGGTTATCAAAGACCTATTCATTTTCGGCCTAATTCTTTCTTCAATAAACTATCTCCTCCGGTTCACGTATTATGCATTTATTTTAATTATGATAATGCAGTATTAAAACTGTGAACGTATTTTTTTTATCGAACGCTATCATATCGCTTAACGGTATGCACTAGCGTTAGTTCCGTAGCGAGTGCTAGTGAGTCCTGCGTAAGACAACCGGCGAATATGATTTTGGCGGTCGTTGCCGGCGAAGATACACGTGCTTCAAAAAAGTTATTATACAAAAATTCCGGCTCGTGAATATTACTATGAAGTATTTATTTTTGGATCTGCATCGTATCACTTGAGGTACTTCGTTTTGAATATTGAATTTTAGTGAAAGTGCTTTACAAGAAATATTTTACAATTTTGTGATCACCGTATAAATGAAAGTGTGATAAAAAAAATATTGTGATTCCTAAATTCTACTTAGATTTATAGGCTTTTAAATAGCAGATTATTGAAGAAAAATTAGAAAAATATAGAATTTAATTTTAATTTAAAGATTACCCCCAGAATAAGCTAGATTTAGATCGGCATTGATTTTAATTAGGTTGATTTTTGAAGCCGTTTTTTTACTTTTCAATTTTATTTACGCCCATTGATTTTTTAGCGCTTTTATTCAGACCACATTTGGTACACAGAAAGTGAAAGCCTTGGATGACCTATTTTCAAACTCGTTCCGGGAGCACAGCATTAACTCGCGTTTAAACAAAGTTGTTGTTATAAATATTATATTAGTCTCGTTTATTCTGAATTACCTACATAATATGAGGTGTGGAATTTTTTTATAAAAAAAAACCACGATATATTATTGTGTATAATATCCTGTAGCATTTTATTTAGTGAGCACGTATTTTGAGGGTAGCACGTTCACTATCAGTGTTATCGTATCATGATTAAAGTGAATTTACCTATTGCACTAACAACTAATAAATGCAGTAATCGAAGACAGTAATCAATATATAAACGTGACATAATAAATTTCGGTGCATTTCCTGTGTCATTGTGGAGATAAGGCTTAAAGTTACGTAAGAACAGGCGTAATAATCACTTTCATTTTAGAATATTAAAAAAAAAAAAAATCGTATACCGATCTAAATATTAAGGCGCATAGTACAATTTTCATGGGTAACATTTTACTGAACACAGTATATTTATTATGATTTCATTAAAGCCATTCATGAACAAAGTACTAGGCAACAAAGGTCAATACCCGGAGACATTTATTTTAAACGCAAACAGTGCTAGCAAACACAGTATTTACGTACTTTAAAAAAAAAATTAACGTTCCACTTTTAATTAAACATAAAAGTGCACATCAGCTAGTTGCAAAAATAAAGGGCAGTATTTGTTTTGTTAACACGTTTGTAGTTCTTCTAGTAAAGAGAGACATATGCTAATCACAATTTATGACAAGGATAAGAAAAAAAGTATTGGTTTGGGTGAAATATAAAAAAAACTTTGAATACATATATAGAGTATAAGTCTCATCTGATTTTAAGACGTCGCCATGACTTATTGAAATCGGCGATAGCAGGCACATCCCGGATCTCTTTCTAGAATTTCATTTGAAGAATGACTAAAAATCTGAACTACTTTTAACGGTTTTTTTTTGTCTCTCTATTTATCCACTTATTCGGTCGAGCAACGAGAAATTATTTTCTGATGGTGGATAAGTGTGAGTACTGAAATATTGGGAGTCCAAGATGCAACAATGAAACGACATTTTTCACAAACCAGATAAACAAATTCAAAGTAGGCTGGCGACTACATAATAATTCAACATAACAGACAAACATCTAAGCGGTCTAAAAGTTCGAAAGGAAGTAGGAGTAAGGTACAAATGCTTTCAGCAAATCCTTTTAATGAATATCGTGTTAAATATTCTGAGATAATTCAGTTTTTCAACAAGTCATGAGGGCTAGTGAAATGTAGGTAGGTATATTCCCATTTATGAGACAACAACAATATTGAATGAAATAACATGGAATAGGTCATAAACGGTCTAAGAAAATTGTTATGTCAAATAAATTAGAAAATGTTAACAAAAAGTGATTATGTCATACTATGCTTGATAAATTGACGAAGATTTATTTATACATATATATAAACTTGAAGATCAAATTGAATTTTCTGTTTCTAGTGGAGTGTGATTGTAAGAACGCACTGTTCTCGTTCGTAGAATTATACCTAATATTTTATATTTATTTCCAGTCGGAGGCTCAACAAGGTTTCAAGCGCCTCTTTTTTCATATACATATTCCTATTATAGTGAATTTTTGGTACATCCTTTTTAAATACATTATTTCAAGATAATTATTTTTACGAAAACAATATTCGGATGTTTTTATGTAAGTAGACTAAGTATATTGATTCTATTTTCGAGTTTATATATGATGTCTTTGTTAATCCACAATTTTAAGAAAGATAAAAAGATCTATTTTAGATACTATTTGGTACCTCAATCAAAATCAGTCAAGTGACGACTTTGGTCTTGCTAACGCTGTCGCGGTTTTTTTTCCAGATCTATGATAATTTAAAATGATACCAACACTTATAGCGACGTTCGGTTTAGCATCGGGTTTGGCAATTACATATTACTTATTTAAGTCGCCGAACCCACCAGAATTAGATCTCCAAAAATGGTGGGGCAGTGGATCTCCTGTTGCAGTAGTAGACACATCTATTAGACCCTTCAAAATTGAATTTAATTATACGGTACGTTGTTTGTCAAGTTCTGCAGTCTCAATTACCAAATATTTGTGTGCTTTATTGGAAAGTTTACATTACAGATGATTAAAGACTTAAAAGAGAGATTGCATAATCGTCGAACATTTACAAAACCGCTTCAAGGTATCCAATCTGAATACGGTATTAATACCATCTATTTGGAAACGGTCCTCGATTATTGGGTTGAAGATTACGACTTTAAAAAAAGAGCGGACCTATTGAATATGTTTCCCCATTACAAAACAAATATTCAAGGGCTCGACATTCATTTCATCAGAGTAAAGCCCGACGTGGAGGATGTCGAGGTTCTGCCGCTTTTGATGTTGCACGGATGGCCTAGTTCTTCGAAAGAGTTCGACAAAGTTATACCAATGCTGACGAGGCCTAGAGTAGGCTATAATTTTGTTTTCGAAGTAATCGCCGCCGATTTACCTGGTTACGGATTTTCTGAAGTGAGTTAAATTTCGCTTAACCCTTTTAGTGCTGAGCTTATATTGACATATTTTGCATAAAATTCTAAGAGATTTTTGAAAATTAATTTGTAATTTTTTTTACCTAAAATAATTTTAAATGGTTATTTATAAATGTTATTAACTTATTCAAAACTTTATACATGCGCGAGCTAAGATACGTCGGTACAGGTCGATACCCAATACCTATAATCAAACTGCGTAATAGTCGATATTCCGACGCTCCGGACTTTATACGCATAAATAAAGAGTCGATCTATCGACGGTTCGCGATCTAAGGGTTAAAGTTGTAACAAATAAATACTAAATTGCACTAATAAAAATCATCAAAAAACAAAGTGGATTAGAAGCACGCCGTAACAAAATACGAACTTTAATTTGACAAGTTTTAAGTGAAGTTTATTATAAATTATACTCTTTTTCAATGTACAATTAAAATGTATAGAGAATCACTTTACATATTCGATTACGGAACCCTAAATACGGTGCGGTCACTATCGGGGTCACTTAGCCACTGTTACACGTGTCTGTTTTTTGCCGAGATCAAGTTCAAGCATGACAATCAAATCACAACATAGTATCCGTAAAGTCTGAGTGTACGGTAAATACATATTTGGAAAATACGCCATTATTCTATGTATAATTATTTTTTTATTGCTGAAGATGAGAAGCGAATTCCGTTTTTGTGTTTTCCTTCAAATTTGTAGCGGATAGAACAGTGGCTCATACTTAATATCGCGTAAACGGATAATCTTTTCTTGAAGGTCTTCTTATGTCGTTTTTAGTCACGTAGTACTTTAGAGATCCTCATAAAATAGTGTTTTGTAGGTGAGGATTTTTAAATTATATTCGTGTATTCGTTAAAATGTGTCACAAGCACGTTCTTTAAAAATGTCACTGATTTCAGGGTACGAACAAACCCGGTCTCAATCCAGTTCAAATTGGTGTGATAATGCGAAATTTAATGATGCGGCTAGGCTTCGAAAAGTTCTACATTCAGGCTGGAGACTGGGGTTCGCAATGCGCAACGCATATGGCCACCTTGTTCCCTGAACAAGTCCTAGGGTAAGTGATCATTGGTGCGGTCATAAGGACGCAAATTAATTTTTATTAGTTTAACAGCAAACCAGAGCTACCAGAGCATACATGTTTTAAAATCAAGATCCCCCAAAATGGGGTCATGGTATTAAGAGGAAACAATTCGGATTTTCAATGATATAGATACATCAGAACCAAATTGTTACAAGGAAAATTCTATACTATTTTGGAACTGCAATATCTCCTTTTTAATCAGTTTATGAAATAATTGAATTTGTGAAAAGGCTCGATTCCAAAAAATAGAAACAACATTTTATTGGTGGTTTTAAACTTACTGTGATGCATTGTGATTGATATAATTTTAAACTTACGTTCTGATATAAAAAAATTATTGCTCAGATGGGTGGACGAGCTCACAGCCCACCTGGTGTTAAGTGGTTACTGGAGCCCATAGACATCTACAAAGTAAATGCGCCATCCATCTTGAGATATAAGTTCTAAGGTCTCAGTATAGTTACAACGGCTGCCCCACCCTTCAAACCGAAACGCATTACTGCTTCATGGCAGAAATAGGCGGGGTGGTGGTACCTACCCGTGCGGACTCACATGAGGTCCTACCACCACTGAAAATATATAATTTTAATAAAATAATACTAATGGTAATAAAAGTAATATGATACATCGATATGTATGATTGTGTACGAATAAAAGACGAAAAACCAATTTTCTGCATTGTTGTTTCCATAGATGTTATGTAGTCGCTCAGTAAGACGTGTTTTATGTAAATCCTATACAGAATGAATTTTCCATCTAACATGGCATACATAATAACTACGCATATACATTTTATAAATTGCCATGGTAACCGTTTCTATAACACTAACACTTTACCAGAGAGTGACACAAACAATTCTTTACCGCGGGAAACTTCAATTTGCTTCATTATTACCTGCCTATTTCTGCCGTGAAGCAGTAATTCGTTTCGGTTTGAAGGGTGGGGCAGCCGTTGTAACTATACTTGAGACCTTAGAACTTATATCTCAAGGTGGGTGGCGCATTTACGTTGTAGATGTCTATGGGCTCCCGTAACCACTTAACACCAGGTGGGCGGTGAGGTCGTACACCCATCAAAGCAAAAAAATAATACTGATTAACAAATTGAACACCGGTGAAATGGCGGGACATGTGTAGTATTATTATGGAAGTAAATATACATAAATATAATTATCGATATTATTAAAACGAAAGTGAGTTTGTGTATTTGTTTTTTTGCTCTCGCGTCTTATACTACGATAGATATAAATGATCAATACGAAAATGTTCGAATACACTGTGAGGAGTACCTTTTATCCCGAAAAAAAAATGCCATTCCCGAGAGATTAAATTTTTTGTCATACATTAACGGGAGTTATTTTGCAAAAAAATACAATATTTAATTAGCAGTAATCTACCAACCAATTAATAAATAAGAGTGGCAACGTATACCTACTGCACGCTCCAGATGGAACTATAATAGTTAGGATTTATGTTTATTTCATAATTTATTAAATTTAACAAGAAATTCATATTGATACTTGAACTCTTTAATACTAACAACTTACATAATCTTTTAGCTTATATGACTTTATTTTTGAAAGTGTTTTTAATTCTTTTTTTTTTATTCTTTTGTTGTCTCTTTTTTAATTACCTTCAATCTTAATTTCAGATTGCACACAAACATGCCACTGTCATCGAAGCCAGTTAGTACGTTAAAATTAATATTAGGTGCTTTAGTACCAAGATTAGCCGTCGACCGGAAGTATGCTGATAGAATATATCCATTAAAAAATCTTTTCTCGTATTTGCTCAGAGAAAGCGGATATTTTCATATTCAAGCTACGAAACCAGATACGATTGGTGAGTATCCCTCGTGTTTCAATGGCTTTTAAACAAACGATCTCACTCACGGTCTGTCGGCTGTTAATTTATTATAGAAACGATACCACATTGTTTCATAAATACCAGTCATAAATACATGAAGTTGGAAGTCTTCATTTTAAAAAGCCGCCCCATTTTTCTTAGATTTTCACGATTCGTAGATACAATTAGAACTACGTTTACGGTTTAATCTTACCATTGTATTATTGTTACATTGTTTCCGATGTTTGGAATCCTAACACGGAGTTTTCGAATACGCGTGATTAAAAAAAAAATTAGTTAATTATGGTCCATAATATTACTAGTCGGTCTTGAAACCGAAACATAGCTATGAGACCTAAATACTAAATAATAATTACTCAAAGACTTATTCTGAAGCATAATCATGACATTTCTTTATTATTTCGCTAAAAACGCCGACTCGTTTGACATTCGTATGTAACTTGACTTGTGCCATTTAAGAAGTTTCCGATGTTCTTGGATTATGAATGAGCAACGAACGGTATTTTAGAATTAGAGAATTTTAGAATCCCTTTACCAGTCTAATTAAGTACCATTCGTTAAATTAACCATATTATGTACTATTACGACACCGGTTTGCTGTTTATGTGTTTCCAAGTACTTTTGTTAATTCCTCTATAAATATCAGCTACGTCATTTCGCAGGGGTGGCACTAACGGATTCGCCGTCAGGTTTAGCAGCGTATATAATTGAAAAGATGGCCATTTGCAGCAGTAGAATAGAACTCGACACGCCACACGGAGGCCTTCAACATTTAGACTTGGACGACGTTTTGGATACAGTCACTATAACGTGGATGAACAACTGCATTGTTACATCCATGAGACTGTATGCAGAAGGATTCGCACTGCCCGAAGTGCAGACAGTTCACGAGTGAGTTCTCTATTATTTACGTTTTTAGAACGCTTTTATTAGCTTGTTTTTTTTTGAACATAATTTCCGCTTAATTCAAGGCGTTTGATTAACATGAAAATGTACACGCATGATGCATGAATAGAATCATTTTATAACTTCTCTCTAATATCCTGATCAGCATCATAAGGAGAAAAAAGATTAAATTAATTGTTAGTTCGGTTTGCTCTTTAAGCGTTTTTGAAATTTCATAGCTAAAGAAAGTTTTGAAGAACTATTTGTTAGACTGGAAAGTATATAATGAATTTGTTAATTAATAGTTGAATTAGTAGCACCACTGCATTAATAAAGTTGAAGGGAAAAACGCCACGCCGTGTATAACGAAATCCCTTTTTACAGCATACCGACCTACGTACCTACTGCTGCAATAAACTTCTTATACGAAGTCATTTACCAACCGGACTGGATTCTGAGGGACAAATTCAAGAACTTGGTTAGGTCAACCGTTATAGAATCGGGAGGGCATTTCGCCGCCATGCAGACTCCCAACTTGCTGACCGACGACATTTTCGATTCCGCTGTGGAATTCTTGAAGTTTCACGAGAAAAACAAACGAATTCGAGACCAAAATTATTAGTGAAAACTAATCGTAGCCTTACTAAAGACAAATCAGATTTTAAAGTTCGCTGAACTCATTTATTCCAGTCATTGTACCGGACTTTATTTTTTGATTTGTTTTTATAATGATAAAAAATGTAACATAGAATAGCAAAAAAAATCCACTGCAGTTATTTTAGGTAAGTTAGTTTTAAGTTCTTTCTCGAAGTTTATTTGCATTTTTAGATTATTCGGCACTACTGAGCTTTTCAAGTAAAATTGAATATTTAGAAACAATTCTTAGGTATCAACTTTTTAACGCATTTTCATTCATACCTACGCGGAATACAAACGAGGCTGAATAGGATAAAACCATTTTTAGTACATTAATAGAGTTATTCTAGTATCTATATTCTCTGTAGACATGAATTAAAATGCTAGAACTATTTAGAAAATTCTAGAATTTTATCTGTAAGTAACTGGCTCGGGTTGAATTAAGCATTTTAGTTATGTATGACTGTGTGCTTGCTTGATCTCGTTCGTTCTAGATATAATTTTACACGAATGACTTGATATATCTGTTTATATCTTGAATAAAGCAGCTGGACGACTCATGAATCGAAGTTTAGATGAAATATTACATTTGACATTTGTATTATTTTTAATTTAGTTTAAGGTTATTTTGGTAATAATAATAATAATAACATAATAAAATGTATCATAATAATTGCGACCGAATGTGATTTGTGTGTTCAAATGTTAATTATGTATGTTCAATCGTATTAATTTATAATTGTGAAATGATGTCTTAATTATTTGTGCATAAAGAACATTTTAACAATTTAAACAATAATGTCTATAAGTAAATAGCAAATTTTTCGTATTACTACGATCGATTTTAATGTAATGAACATATTATAATTAAATACATTAGGCCTAAGCTTACATTGCCATTATATTAGCCAAATGTTATGTGTTTGTTTCGTATTAGTTATATAAGTTAACTTTTAATTTCTATGACCTACATTATTATTTGACAATCATGATATAAGATTATTAATGGCCCGAAAGTATTACTAATGTAATGATAACTAATCTAATGTAATGATACGAAATACATTATACAATACTAATTCGAACTCACTTGTTTTTGTTCAATAAATTCTTCCAATTTAGGGGGCGCAAAGAAACCTGGGACGAGGAAGTCACTCCTAGGGCTGAACTGCTCCACCTTCATGCGTCCACCCAAGTTGAATTTCGCACCAGCGTAATATAAGTTCCTGTGAAACAAATTATATTAGTAGTACAAAAAAGGTGCGTGTAACTTGGTGCACGTGAAAGAAGTGAAACTTCTTTTGCGGTGGGTACTATTGTGGTTTTCTTTCTTTTTTATCCTTAAATCAAATTGGTCTTTTAATAGGGAATAAGAGAAACGACCTAGCTCGCTTTGTCCTTTCCCTCTCTCCACAGTCGAGTGGTTTGCGAGACGTTCTGTTTATTTTCTCTCTCGCTCTTCCTAAATTGTATCTTTTTTCTCTAGCCTTAACGACTCAGTCGCGAGTTAAATTTTAGTTTCACTCCGAAAATATTTTTAGGTTTATTTTGCGGTTCGACTAGTTAGATTAAAATATCGATATAAGAAAGCAGAATTGTCGTAACTTGAAAAAACCAACCAGAGCCATATGTATAACATAAAATGGTAAAAAGTGATTTAACTCAAAATGTAAGTTTCTCCCGTCGATATACAAATAGTGTCCATTTGTATTCACGGCCCACCTAATGTGAAATGGTAGCTGGAGCTCTAAAGTCAATATCGTAGGATATTGTGGTAGGACCTCTTGTGAATCCGCGCGGGTAGGTAGCACCACCCTGCCTATTTCTGCCGTGAAGCAGTAATGCGTTTCGGTTTGAAGGATGGGGCAGCCATTGTAGATGTCTATGGGCTCCAGTAACCACTTAACACAAGGTGGGCTGTGAGCTCGTCCACCCATCTAAGCAATAAAAATAAAAAGGGTGCGTGTACTTATGTACGCGCGTAAGAAGTTATACTTTATTTTTATTAAATTTATTTCTTTTTTTTTAAATATTAAATAATTAATAATAAATATTTAACGTTAAAAAATGAATGCTAATAACACTTTTTTTTATGAGTGTACATGCGCGAAAGTTCACCTGCGGCTATATTCAGACTCGCCAAGTTACGTCGGTCGTATTGTAATGAGCGATTTAGTGGGCAACTTCATTTCTGTTAATTTAGTGTCACGGTGCGCGCGCATCGTAAAATTTCACTCTCATCAATTTTTCATAACGCGCCTAAAGAAGTATAACTTAAAAAAAAAACTGTTCCCGTTCAGTGACTTTGTATTATTTTACATCAGCTTTTATTTTTGCATTAGTTCGAAACTAGAACACGCGAACTTGATTTAAAAAAAAAATCATAATCACCTATTACTGATCAGCTTTCCCTTGATGTTCGTTAGTTGACCCTCGTTCATGTTCGGAAACTTGTGGTGCAGGTACAGGCTGGCGGCGAACTTTAAGAACGAGTCCCCCAGTGTCTCCGGTCGCTCCAGATCGAAGGTGTCGTTTGAGTTGATCGTGGTGAGCGCGGCGAGCACGTCTCTCAGTTCCGGACCTCGCCCGGTCGGCGTCTTCTTTAATATTTCGATTTTATCAACGTACCTGCGAACAGTAGACCGTAGTAGAAGTACAAGAATAACTAGTTTAATTTTCATACGAGCAGGCATTGGCCAAAGCAAATGTAAGGTATAGCTGTCCCGACCTTCAAACAGAAGCACATGATTGTTTAGTAAAAACTAACAAAATACGCTTTTATAGAAAATCCAACTAAAAAATAGAAAATAAATCTTAATAAATTTGAATTAAAAATAGTGTAAGATAAAATGATTTTATAGTAAAAAAAGCGTCGGGTGCTTTTCAGGATATTTTCAAAATAACCCTTCTACTCATATCTGTTCATAAAATATTTATAATTACTGATACCATGCACCCCACGCTTTTTTTTACAATAAAATCATTTTTTCTTACAATAACGTCGGTCCTTAATAAGTATACCAAAGTTCGAGTTAATCCGACGTTTTGAAGGGGGTCAAAATTATGTTCAAAGATTCCGTTACATATTAACATACATACGTCTGAAGCTAATAAAAGCGTATTAAAACTAGTGTTTTATGCAATTGCTATTTTTATATTTAGATATTTTCTATATTTGAAAGAAATCCTTACTTGATGGGCGGCGGTGCTATAGCTGGGGCCTTAGGAACGATTCTCGGCGGGGAACAAGGGTTGTTCGATGCAGACGATATCGGAGCCGACACAAACTCGTCGTAACATTCTATGTCCATTAACGTGATGGTCGACAAGTTACGCTCTACGTCGATGGGTTCGATTCGTTGCTGTTTAGTAAAAAAAAAAGTTTTTAATNGAAATCCTTACTTGATGGGCGGCGGTGCTATAGCTGGGGCCTTAGGAACGATTCTCGGCGGGGAACAAGGGTTGTTCGATGCAGACGATATCGGAGCCGACACAAACTCGTCGTAACATTCTATGTCCATTAACGTGATGGTCGACAAGTTACGCTCTACGTCGATGGGTTCGATTCGTTGCTGTTTAGTAAAAAAAAAAGTTTTTAATCCTTTTAAAAAGCGATCGGGTCATTATTTGGTGCACAGGCAATTTTATTTTTTATTTTTTTTATTGCTTGTTTGGGTGGGCGAGCTCACAGCCCACCTGGTGTTAAGTGGTTACTGGAGCCCATAGACATCCACAACGTAAATGCGCCACCCACCTTGAGATATAAGTTCTGAGGTCTCAAGTATAGTTACAACGGCTGCCCCACCCTTCAAACCGAAACGCATTACTGCTTCACGGCATAAATAGGCAGGGTGGTGGTGCCTACCCGCGCCGACTCACAAGAGGTCCTACCACCAGTAATTACGCAAATTATAATTTTGCGGGTTCCATTTTTATTACACGATTATCCTTCACCGTGGAAGTCAATCGTGAACATTTGTTGAGTACGTATTTCATTAGAAAAATTGGTACCCGCCTGAGATTCGAACACCGGTGCATCGCTCAACACGAATGCACCGAACGTCTTATCCGTTAGGCCACGACGACTTTAAAAGCTTTTCAAGCTGTCTTATTATGGTGACTAAAATACATTTTCTTAACCACAAATTAAATGCAACATTATAAATATTTTCGCTAAATTCTGTTTCCCACAGTGCTAAATTAAATCGCAAATTTCAAATGACGAAGTCTTTTACTGGACCACCTACCCAAAAAACAGCATTTATCCGATTAAGTCATGAAAGAAAATAAAAAAAAGTTAATAATACTTTGAATTTCTTTTTTTTTTTCACTAATTATGAAATAAAAATACTTTGAACCTACGGGCACACTTCAGCGTATTCCTACTTTGTATACAACAGTACTTCTCGATTTAGCAAATTTATACTGGTTGGATTGATGAGGGTATTGCTTAAATCCTACGTTTAGGATCTATTTTCCCATATCGGGCAAATATTTGTGTTATGAACAAATTTCTTTAATATCCCCATATACATTATGTATTTATGTTAACGTTGGTAAGTTTTCATAAAATTCACTGGTTTCCATAGTACAACTGAGTTTCTTAATTTGGATTTTGGATCTTTCAGATGATCTTGTGCGATTAGTAAATGATTTTTTTATTCAAGACCGCTTAAAAAATAATCAAATTTATGTTTTTAACCATGCTCTCGGTTTCTATGTATGAGTTGAATTCAAACTTATAATTATTCTTTATTATTTGTGGTGTCCAATTGTTATGTACACATTATTTAGTCAATATACTAGTTGGTGGTATGACAGAAAGTTATCATAGCTATATAATCCTTTAAATAATATACAAAGACAAAACAGTTAGGTACCATTTTCTCCTGCGTTTTTCAACCGATAATCTTCTTTGTTTTTTATTTGTTCTTTTGTAGCCATTGATGAGCTTTAGTTATTAATAATAATCTTTATAATTTTTTTTTTTTTTTCATCAAGTTGTCAATTATGAAAATAAAGAAAATGCAGTACACAAACGGAAGCCTTGAGGTATCAGTAATTGTGGTCCAATTTTTATTATGAATACTGAGGTATACCTACTAGAGGTATCAAAAATACTTACATCCCAGGGGTACTCTTTGTCGATTTTCTTTCTTTGCAGTTTATATAAGCTCTTTTTTAACGGTACAACTTTCTTCAAACAATCATCTGTGCCTTTGTGTATTCTAAAATACAAACAATAAATACAACTTTATGTTTCATAGAAATTTTCAGTTACGTAAAACAAGTAATTTTATCAGGAATTATGAGATATTTGAGGTGAAATTAGTTCTACTTTTTAAATATCTTTTCTTAAGCTAGATTTTTGAAATGTCTATTTTAGTGCTAGAAGCGTTATCATTTTAGGCTTAAATGAGCCTTTTTTTTTGCTGTATTGCTGATATATCTTAGGGACTCAAAATTAATCTCTAAATGCTAATTTACTAATATTTAAAATTAATTCTTTTTTTTGTGTTTCTATTCGTTCCAGCATTGTATTTACGATTGAGTTAAAAGTTCTTGATCGTACTTTCGAGAAAGAATCTGTAATAGTACAGTAGTGGCAGGAATTCCTAGCCGGTAATAAAATGTAATAAATACGATGTGAAAATATGATTACCTGTCAATAGTGTGGACATGAAGTGGTTCTTCAACTTGGGACAATAATGAATTTATGGCTATATACCGGTCCACTTGTATCGGTTGAAATGATTCCGCTACAATCAATGTAAAACATCGATAATTTTTAAAAATCGAAAAAAATAAACATATTTTTTAATCGATGTTGCCTAACTCTTAATAGAGATAAACAAAAACAACTCTTACTTTTAATTAATGATACTTACTTTTTTTCAAAATTGGTTGCCCGTATTTAGTGGCGTTTGATATTTCCACGAGCAATTCATGTGCCACTAACAACATGTGAACTCTGAAATAAAATTCAATCTAATATTTAATAACACTGATTTAATATAAATGTTAATGGAATGTTCGCCGGTAGTGTCTTAAGAGTCTGCACGGATGGGTACAACCCCCCGCTTATTCCTCTGCGAAGCAGCAATGTGTTTCGGTTTGAAGGGTGGAGCAGCCTATATACTTTAAAAATAAGACTTAAAATTCATGTTTCAAAATGGGTGGTGGCGTTTACGTTGTTGATGTCTATGGGTGCCGATGACCACTTAACACCAGGGGTCCTTGACCTCGTTTACTCAACAATGCTATAAAAATAATAATAATGATAAATTAAGAAAACTTTATGATTACCTGTGAATAATACTGGGCAGTAGCGTTGCCTTATACCACAGTACTCCTGGGTAATCGTATTTAATACAGAATTCCGGTATAAATATCTCTGCAAATCCCTTCGGTTTATCGTCGCCGAACGCAATCGATATCATCTTCAGCTGCTTGTCTGTGAACGCTTTGAGCGTTGCCGCTCGGGGTAGGAGGCAGTTCATCCGCGTGCTTATGTTACGCACCTAAATGTTTGGGATAAAAATTTAATAACACAAGTCAGTAATTATTTCCACACTCGTATTAGCCGGTACTATGGCTGCCTATGCCTCTTTACTGTTATGCAAGATTGCCGCAAGCAAAAGCTTTTTACGTTGCAAGAGATGATGAGTTTTGAAGCTATTCATTGAATGAAACAGACATTTCTGGCCTGAGTTGTTTGGTGGCGCCACTATTGTTAAGGCCGTACGCTCGGCTGTCCTTAGAGACAATAAAAATGTCGCGATGTCTATGGTATGAAGGTAATAAAAGGCGGGCCTGTTGATTCGTCAGCTATCTGTTCATATTACAAAAAGTTTTGTTGATATATTTTTATTAGAGAATGGATCCTTACTTATTAATTACATTTTTAATCAAATAACATGCATGACATACCTCCAACAGTGGTTGACTTTCACTTCCTAATATATCCAAGTTATATTTGTTTGCATAATAATTTGCATACGATTCATAGCAGTCAGCATCGAATTGAGATTTCGGCGTCATGTATTCGAGAACCTTCGTCACGACGTACCTTTATAAAAAAACATTGAAAGAAATATCAAAATGTAAAATTAATAAGTACCTATTATAATTTATAAGAATTAATTCCGTTATCAATAAAACGCATTTTAATCAATGTCTAAATTCTTATTTTTAACTATGAATGGGCTGATGGTTTTTACGATAATAATATACGACTTGCAAATTCGTATTTTTTTTTTTATTGCTTAGGTGGTTGGACGATCTCACCGCCCACCTGGTGTTGAGTGGTCACTGGAGCCCATAGACATCTACAACGTAAATGCGCCACCCACCTTGAGATATAAGTTCTAAGGTCTCAAGTATAGTTACAACGGCTGCCCCACCCTTCAAACCGAAACGCATTACTGCTTCACGGCAGAAATAGGCAGAGCGGTGGTACCTACCCGCGCGGACTCACAAGTGGTCCTACCACCAGTAAATAAAAAAGTTTAAAAAAATATCCAAATAGGCTTGTTATTTAGACAAATATTACTTTCACTTTCAAATTATTATGACTTTACCATTGATTCGGGATAATTGTTTTTTACCACTGAGAAAGATCAGAATTTCGGGGCTTGATTTTCGAATATAAATATATAAATAAAAAGTAAGCGGCTTTTCGCTCATTCAACTCATCAACATACCGTTCAGGTAGAATAGTCCCGCGATACCAGGGCGTTACAATGCAATTCGTGTAGTTTTCTTCTGTGACTACCAGCGATTTTCTTTCCTGTTAAAAAAATTCAAAAGGTTTTATTTACTTAACTTTCTACCAAGCTGATATTCTTCGAACACCACATAACATTAAGTAAACGAAAATACGGATACCAATAGGACGACGAAAGATAATAGTTTTGTATACGATAATTGGAAATATCTATACTATAATATTATAAAGAGGAAAGATTTGTTTGTTTGTTTGTTTCGAATAGGCTCCGAAACTACCGGACCGATTTGAAAAATTCTTTTTCCATTAAAAGCCGACATTGTCCCTAATGAACATAGGCTACTTTTTTTTATTTATTTTTATTTTATTTTTTTAGTTTCATGTGTGTTTTAAGGTTTCCGAAGCGAAGCGAGGGCGGGTCGCTAGTTTTAAGATACATTTGAAAAAAATATCCAAATAGACCTGTCCAAACTCATTCTCTTAGAACATTTTCTTAGTAATGACAGCATGATACGATTTTCGCTTATGATACAATACGATGATATGACTCAACCGATACCGATCCACTAACGGTGCTTCTTTTAGGTACCTCAAGCACCAGTCATCGTCCTTGTCGAACCCGTCGCTTGCGACAAAGGACTCGACGAGTAAATTAACTCATAGATACAGCCCACTGAGTTTCTCGCCAGATCTTCTCAGTGGGTCGTGTTTCCGATCTTGCTAGGGCCAGTGTTAGCAACACCTTTGGTTTGAGCCCCGTGAGCTAACCTACTCGCTAGGGTAAAGCTGATATAGCCTCTCAAGGAAATCAGCAGAGGTTGTAAAAAAAAACGATTCAAGGTTCAGGACTGTTCGTTCTGTTTCTATTACCTCAACTGAAGGCGCGGCGACCGGTGGCACCGTGTGGTGAGTCTGCATTGTTGTCCAGTCAATGTTGTATCCATTACGTTCCAGTACCGGGACAACGTACATGCAGTTTTTAGTTCCCTCGAATATCAGAAACTTCTTATTGATCGCCAAAATTTGGTCGAATAGAAAATAATGGAATCTGTAACGAATTTAAATAACTCAAAAAGAACATGATAATTTTTTCTAGTCATTCTTCATCATTACATTAGAATAAAGATGTATATTAGATTGCCCCCGTAATCAACAAATTAAAGAGCGGACGGTTAGCGCGGTATGGACATGTGATACGTAGAGAGAAGATGCATGTGACTAGGAGATGTATGGAAATGGTAGTGCAAGGTAGAAGGGGAAGAGGTCGACCGAAACAGATATGGATGGAGTGTGTGAATGACGATACTAGAGAGAGAGGAATAAGTGTTGAGATGACGGCTGATAGAAGAGAATGGAAGAGAAAAAATAGCTGTGCCGACCCCGCCTAGTGGGATAAAAAGAAGAAGAACAATAAATATGTATATTTAACTGAAAATGCTTTAGCTTAAAGCCATTGTGATTGATCAAAGATAATACTATAAGAAAAAAAAAATATTGAGATGTTAGCAAAATGTTTTAACTGGATACTTTAAGATCTTGATTGAAGCGTAGAGCATATAGAGAGACCCAAGCTCAATGCGCTCAATGGAAACGAGGCGTATGTAGGAGAAAATTTTTTTGACCAATTTCACTTTAAATAAAACTTATAGGCAGAGCTTAAAACGCTTTGCATTGCAACATGTACAGAGTTCACTCAGGGTTGTTACCCAGCCGTGCGTACTTACTGCTTCACTAGCTCGAATATAATCGGGGTCAGTTTTATAACTGCGTAATTGACTTCTATTGACGTGGTGATTTCTCCAACGGACGTGAACGCTGGGAACTCGCACAGTTTAGGCAAAGGCTTCTGCGTCAAAAACCCGTAGCATTCGTTTCTCTTTATAAAATCGTACAAAGCCTTTTCACGATTATCGTTGGGTTTCTCGAATGCCGCCTCCATTTTTATTACGTGAAGATAGAATACCGAACTATCTGGTACTGCGTCTAGGTGTGACGGGAACTGAAATCAATTTTAGTAGATTATGTTATTGTTTGTGAAAATGAAATATGTACGTGATATATATACATAAGATGGTATTTTTTATTGCTTGGTTTGGGTTGGGATGGCCCACCTTGTGTTTGGTGGTTAAGTGATGGGTGACCATTGTTTTACACAATTTTATATTCGCACGCACGCCAATGGCCAATGACCCGCAATGATAGTATGTTTTATTTATTTTATTGGTATTGACGTATGACCTTACGGCCCTCTTATTGTTAGTGGTCACCAGAGTGGTCACCACTTCAATTGAAACACATGGTACCTTACCGATGTGGACTCACAAGACACTCTGCTACCACTAATTACGCAAATAAAAACTTTCGCGGGTTTCATTTTCCCTCCTCGATGTTATTCCTTCATCGTGGAAATTATTCGTGAACACCTTAAGTACCGTAATTCCATTAATTGGTAGCTGCCCGTGGGATTCGAACACCGACACAGTCGGATCACTTGATACGAATGCCCGCGCGTCTTATCCTTTAGGCCACCACGACTTCTTTCCTTATTACTATAATCGCTAACCACTATCACGTTCGAATAACCGGTAATTGAAATATCAACAGAGAAAGCGGCTATTATTAATGAAAGCAACGTCTTAATTTTAACGTTTGACAAGATATTAAAATTTATAATCACCTAAGCTAACTTTCATTTCTTTAAATCGTTATCCGATGTTCAATCGACATTTCGACTTCATATCTCAAAGTGGATAGCGGAGTTCAAATTGTGGTGTCTATGGGCTTAGACAGCCAATCTATCCACTGTGAGTTCGTTTTTCTGCCAGTCACTATAGTCATCCATGGTGTATAGGCAGCGTTTTGACTAGAGTCACCGATGTTTTCCTGCCAGTGACCATAGTCATCAATCGTGTATACACAGCATTTTGACTAGAGTCACCGGTGTTTTCCTGTCAGTGCAAATAGTCATCCATCGTGTATAGGCAGCGTTTTGACTAGAGTCACCGATGTTTTCCTGCCAGTGACTATAGTCATCAATCGTGTATAGGCAGCGTTTTGACTAGTAACCGATAGTAGCGAAAGGGTTAAGAACAGTCAAACATAAGTTATTAACCTGTATTTTATGCTTTCGTTTTCGTTTCTTGGAACCAGGCTTGGGTACATTGTCTTTGATCTCGGTCTCGCAATCTTTAGTCCAGTTCGGAAAGCAGCCACGTATGTCATCTCGTTCGTAATCAACTTCCCTAAAGTAATAAATTGTACTCTTCAATTATTGAAACAATGAAAACGACTTTATATTGTTTAATTTCGGGTTTTTTACTCCCATTATATGGAGGGGTAAAAGGATATTTAGTTTTAGCAAAAAAAATTGCAACTTTACACGAGAGCCAATTCAAGCTTAAAATTAAAAAAAATATATTAAAAAAAACTTCTTCAGCTATTTGAACGCAGTAAACTTGACTGAACTTCAAAACGCATCTTCAATTAAAAAAGATAAATGTCGCGCATTAAGCGAAATATTGCTTAAACCAAACAGCCTTTGACCCCTCGATGTTATTTCCGACGTTTCAAACGCTCTAAAGTTTTCGTTGAAAAGACAACGCGAAATTAAACCTTAAAAGTAGTATAAATTAGGTCTACGAGTTGCGAAAACCAAAGAAAATATACTATGTTTGAAATTGTTGAGAAATTTATTTATTGAAGTGAAACTTCCTTATCGGCGTTGGAAAAAAATTTACCGTCACATTTTTCGGTTACGCGTCACTTTTTTCCGTTACGCGCCATCTGTTTTGTATTCATGTCTATGATAATAAAATCCTTTTGTTTAAACTTTATCTAATTTAACTTTTTTGTATTCATGTCTATGATAATAAAATCCTTTTGTTTAAACTTTATCTAATTTAACTTTATTTAACCAATTTCTAGAAAGTTGCATGTAGATCATTTTTCGAAAAATAAGGCCATAAACAAGTTTCACTTCTTACGTGTGTACACTAGTACACGCACACATTTTTTTTTTTTATTATGAAGTTATCATTCAATTGTTTGATGGGTGAGACAACAATTATACAATACAATAAGAGACTTAATGCTCACGTATTAAGATGGGTAACACCTTGCCGTGTATATGTACTTTTGGTAGCTGTGTAAAACCGGTCGAGATGTATTGTCGATCAGACCATGTTACTAAAAGCTAGCTCGCAGTAATTTCGATTACGGCAGCACCAATTCAGCTTTTAAATCAATGAAGACAATTGTATATCTTGTATTCACATATTTTTTTTCGTATTTACCCACTCCGACGATAGACAGACTATTTTAAGATTAAATAAGTTTAATATTTTAATGATTTCAGTTTCGTAATAAAAATAACGAAATTACCTGACGAAAAAACTCCATAGTTGCACTTTCGTAAACTTTCAACATTTCTAAATACATTTCATAACAGATTCTATTGTCTATTAAAAAATTAAACTTACGCGTATTTGTACGGGAGTAATGTTAACGGATGAAGTTCGCCCAATTCATGTAGCTTAATGCACGCCTTCAGTGCAGCGGAGCGTTTAGCGGTTTTCGTATTTGAGTACGGGTCACCCTGACATTTGGAAAAAAAGAATAAAGACTTTAAACAATTGTTTATACAGGGTGTTCCGTAATACCACGTCAAATATGCTCTTCGGTTAGTAGTCATCACGTTTGACGGGCTTTTTACGGCAGACTTAACTATAATTAATATAATACTACTATACTACTACTATAGAACTACGAAATGTCCTATTAAAATGCCAGAAAGAATTGACATCTTCAAAACAAGTTTGAAAGGAACCTTCACATAGCGGATTTGTCGTGCCCTTGATATTGACAGGGGCTCCATTTGGATCCATGAGTGACGGGGCAACAAAAAAGCTTAGCAGCAATTTCAAGGGAAGTGAGAATTCTTATATCAATTTGTTACTTCGATCAATATAAAATAATGGACAGAAGCCGGCTCGTAATTCATATCAATATACGGCAAGTGTGTATTTTGCATCTAGCATCATTGTATACTATACATACCATATTATGCATCTCAATTGAATCTGCACTAATTGGAGACCGAGTTCCCACTTTAATTTTATTTAATGACAAGATTGAATTACTTTTAAACTGATCGCTTGTGATGTGCTGAAGTTTTTTTGAATTTTTAAGATTATATAATTATTTGTAGCGATGGTGGAACTCCAACTCAATTTGAAAATTATCAGTGGCTAAAGATCATATTTTTACTAATAATTGTGCGACGTTATACGACATTACGATTATAATCAATTGCTTATGTATAAATTGAGCCACATACCTTAATTTCTTCTTTGACGGGAGATCCTATGGGAAGTATGACGGTGACCTGTTTTTTAGCTCCGTTCTCAACCACCTCTTGCAACCAAACCGGAGTGATCGTTGTGAATTGATCGTGTGGTAAAATCGAGCAATACCGGCTTAGTAAACTAATTGCTGACACGGAATATAATATATCTGAAAAAAAAATTACTTAATTTAAAAAAAAATTGTTGAAACTAGTCTTTAATTAAATGACGTTTATTAAAATGAGTAGAAAAGAATACGTCATAAATGCTTTATCCAGGATAAATATGTGATTTTTAAATTAGAATTTTCGGAGATTTTCTCTTTCATCTCAAAGACTTATGTACAATAGTAGGAAAGGCCTATTTAGTCCATGTAGTGCCCGCCATTACCCTAGCGCCCTCTAGTGAGTGCGCGGTCAAAATGGAACAGTTTTTTTTTTATGATTGAGACTTTACTGATGATGGCCCAGAAGTCTTTCCAGTTTCACAAGGACAGGTGGACGAGTAAGGGCTCAGTCAGAAGGGGCGGAATTTGCTAACAGCTACCCGAGCGCCTCCGAAGGAGACGTAACAACTCAAGAGCGTCTGCTTCGCGAACGAATTTACTACCGGATCGGAATCGCGACCCGCTGAGAAGATCCGGCGAGAAACTCAGCGAGTTGAAGCATGGGTTAGGTTGTACGTCGAACTCGGAGTACTGTTCAATGCTCACTCAAGTGTCTCTGACATTCGAACCATTCCAGCATGGCCTTCGGACATCGCAATCTCTGGACTCGTGTACTAGTGATATCGATAAACACCTAGGACTTTACTTCAACTGTTACTAAGCTTTTTACTAATACCTCGTAAGCAGACTTTTGCCGTTTTCGACTAGACCTTTCGGCGCCTTATCAGGTCAATTTATACAGTTGTTTCAACTAATTCTGTGTATCCGACAGATCGTTAGCTTGTTACCCTTGCCCAGCCCCTGCCTTCTGAAGTGTTATTTAAGTGACCCATACACGTTAATCTAGACCTTGTATAGTACTGGGCAAAAAATAATGCACATCGACTTCTAGAAAGAGACATTTGGCTAATTTCGGCTTTGTAGAGCATTGTGCCTTTGGCACACTACATATGTTACGGTTTGTCAGTCGTTAGACAACTGCGGTGGAGTATGGCCGCGTCCAGTTCAGAATATATTTAGAGAGTTGTTAACACCCCCAAATTTAAATGATTTTGAATTATGTATTTACTCACTGCCATTAGACGTTTCGTATGGGGGAACCTCGTCGTCATCATACAAGTTCTCATGAATGTCTTGAGTTGTGGGAGCGGCGCGGCTGTCATCACCGACTATGAGCTGTCCAGCAATTGCAAACACAATTCAGATTAATTAATAACTAGTAACAGTCATATCTTTTGAACGTGTCCTATACTTTTTTTTAATTGCTTAGATGGGTGGACGAGCTCTCAGCACACCTGGTGTTAAGTGGTTACTGGAGCCCAGACATCTACAACGTAAATGCGCCACCCATCTTGAGATATAAGTTCTAAGGTCTCAGTAGTTAAAACCATCCTTCAAACTGAAACGCATTACTGCTTCACGGCAGAAATAGGCAGTCTATTTATTCACGAATCACTCCCACGATGAAGGAATAATATTGTTTAGTAAATAAAAAGCGAATCCGCAAAAAGTATAATTTATTATACATTTGAGACAAAGACCTCAAGCCTCAAGTGGGTGGCGTTATTTACGCTGTCACGTTTATGGACTATTACGAAAACTTAACACCAAGTGAAGTGTTTTTTTTTTCCTACCTAAGCTGATAGCCTTGAGATAGGCTATTATCAGCGGAACTTTAACTAGTAGGTGAGCTCACGGGGCTCAAACCTGATGACGTTGCTAACACGAACCCTAGCAAGAGCCGTGCTTCGCAGAATCTACCACCGGATCGGAAACGCGACCCACTGAGAAGATCCGCCGAGAAACTCAGTGGGCTGTGTCTGTGGGTTAATTTACTCGTCGAGCCCTTCGCCGCAAGCGACGGGTTCGACGAGAACGGTGACCGGTGCTTGAAGTACCTAAAAGCACCGTTAGTGGATCGGGAGGATCCGAAATGACGTGTTTGGGGCGACGTCGACTGCTTTCCATTCTTTCCACAGGATCGGGAATGTAGTTACCGGCGGCCACGATGAGAGGGTTCTCGTGTCGTGCCGCTTTATCGAAGTGGTGTAAAGTGTAAGATCGTTTACCAATCAATGCAAAAAAAAGTTCTGTGTATGGATTTTTAAGAAGAAGAGAACTTACATTACGAATACGTTCTTCGGTTTTTTGGAACGCGTTGTATTTTATTAAGAACGACTGTTTGTCTTCAATATCAACGAGTATAACGAAACTGGCTTCAGAACTTCTTGCACGACCTGTTTAATAAAACACAAAATGCAATTTGTATGATTAATAAACTAGATTATTTTATTATCTCGTTTATCTGTAACGAATTACTATTCGTAAATGTCAAATTATATATAGTTATATATTGGCTCTGTATTTAAATAAAACATATATTAAAAACATTTTCATTACTGATGGTAGGAAGTCTTGTGAGTCCGCACGCACGAGTAAGTACCACCACCCTGACTATTTCTGCCGCTAAGCAGAAATGCGTTTTAGTTTGAAGGGTGGAGCAGCCGTTGTACTGTAAAACTTGAGACCTTAGAACTCATGCCTCGAGGTGGGTAGCGGCATTTACATTGTAGATATCTATGGGTTCCGATAGCCACTTAGCACCGGGTGGGCCGTGAGCTCGTCCACATATCTAAGCAATGAAACAAATTACGGCCGTCAAAATAATAAAGCAAAAGGCATCAATCGCTATTTAATCGATGGAAAAAATATTAAATTTATACATCTTATGAATAAATGAAGACCCTTTTATTTAATTACGAATAACGAACCCCTGAGAATGTCTAAAACTTTAATTTTCATTAATTTATAAATGAATTGATAAAATGTCACCTTTGCTTTGGATATAAGATCGATATTCGGTTGGCGCATCGTATCGGACAACTAACGCACACTGAGGTATGTCCAAGCCTTCTTCGATGACGCTCGTCGATATCAAACAGTTCAGGTCTCTAAAATTAAATTTATATTTATTTTTAAATTCTAAACTGAACATATTTATCTAATAGGACCATACGAAACCGGTTGTAATAAAGCAAAAGCTCTTTATTCGCGTAAAAAAAATGCGACCCAATTCCTAAGTTCGCGGATCTAATCAACACATCGGTACATATAAATTAATAAAAAGGATTCCAATATGTAGATATCCAACCGAATATACTTTGTAAAGGCGCTTTTACATATTCAAAGTTTCTGTATTCGCAGCATGTTCACGGAATAAAGAGCTTTTACTGTAGTATTTACACACTCAAGGACCATGATGCTATGAGACGACTCGTTACCAAATACTGTTTCTGTTTGCGTTTTTCCATAACCTATATTCATGGCTAATAAGTACATACTTTTCCCAGTTACCGTCCTTGCCGAACCCGTGGCTTGCGACGAAGGACTCGACAAGTAAACTAACCCACAGACACAGCCCACGAGTTTCTCGCCGGATCTTCTCAGTGGGTCGCGTTTCCGATCCGGTGGTAGATTCTACGAAGCACGGCTCTTGCTAGGGTTCGTGTTAGCAACATCGTCAAGTTTGAGCCCCGTGAGCTCACTACTACTTAAGGTTACGCTGAAACCTCTCAAGGTTTTTCTCAAGTTTATTTTTACTGAGTAAGCAAATTATCTTAAACGCGTCGTTTTCAAATAAAATAATTATTTCGTAATATAAAATTTAAAACAGCTCACCCGTTATTAAATCCCAATATGGCTTTTTGGGATGATTTTTTTAAATAATGTTCTTCCCTTGTACTTTTAAAAGGATTGATACTGAAGCCGACAACAAAATCATGTTTCAAAAATTCAAACTCGTCCGGTCTAGCTTTTTTCAAGTCCATTAAGATATTATACAGAATCTTTGAAGTAAACCTTTGTTTCGTGAAAATTATTCCACAGAGAGGTTTTCTTGAGTGGTTTACTTTCAACAATTCTGATAAATAATGAAAATTGGATAATTACATGTCAAGCTTTGTTTACTGCATAGTGTGATTACTGCCATTCATACTATATTTACAAAGCAATTGAGGCTTCGACCTAGATCCTTAAGGTCGGTGGAGGCATTATCTATGTAATGTCTATGGGCTTTAGTAACCAATCAGCACCGGATTCAGGAGCAATAAGCAAAAAATAATTGATTATTTTGAATTAAATTCTTAGTGTCATGAACGTTTTGTATATGGTTGATTATAATTATGGATAAGTCAATACTTTAGATTACCACGTTCGGTTTTTAATGACACAATAAGATCTGTCCAAGCATTAAGATCCCTAGAGTCAAAGAAGTGCGTGAGGAAACAAGTTGTAATGTCAACTGCGCGTTTATGGAGTTTTCTGTTAACCAATTCTCACTGATAGTAACACAATCTTACAGCTCTGTCAAACTCACCTCCAGGCTTTTCCAATATCAAAGGGTTATATTCCTTCAGCAAGTCAATCAATTGTAAAATCTTTTCCGATGAATGTTTTATTATTTTATCGTACCCAGTCTCGTTTTCCATGGCGTCCAAGAGTATCATACGAGCTCTGTTAACATAAGAGTTTTTGTTTATTCGACAGCCTGAAGATCTTACATATTTTTTTATTGCTAGATTGGCGGACGATCTCACAGCCCACCTGGTGTTAAGTGGTTACTGGAGCCCATAGACATCTACGACGTAAATGCGCCCGCCACCCACCTTGAGACACAAGTTCTAAGATCTCAAGTATAGTTACAACGGCTGCCCCACCCTTCGAGCCGAAACGCATTACTGCTTCACGGCAGAAATAGGCAGGGTGGTGGTACCTACCCATGCGGACTCACAAGAGATCCTACCACCAATAAAAAACGCGCTAGATTAGAGTTTCGCTTCCAATTATAGTGTAAAGGTGATAGTGGTAGTATTCGCAGTGTTGTGTCAATATTTATGAGTTCCGGTAACCGCCTAGCACCAGGGCCGGAAGTTCGTCAATCCATGTAGTGGAAGAAAAAAAAAACAATTCCAGGTACATACATTTTTATTGCTTTTGTAGGCAAACAAATGAACGGTCCGTTCATAATGCATAGCGAAGGCGCTACCTTTACATACAAAAATAAGTATATTTAGCCTATATTAGGGTTATCATTTCCAAAATAAATAATAGACCAAATTATTACTTCATATTAGGCGCTAACATTACCGGTCTCTTTTTTTTTAATTAATATTTTGTAAATTGGCATTTATAAGAGTTAGGGTTCTGCTACAATAATGACAACCCGCTACTTATGCCGCTATCTAAGACGCACACCAGACACATTATCAGTAAAACAAAACGAAACCAAAAAATAGGCGTATCCGTAATTTTTCTTCATTTTTTTCATAAAGTTTGTTCAAATTTTATAATTACGAATTGAATGAATATTACGCCATTAATATAATGGCAGTTGCTCCTTTGTGCTTTATTCTAAGAGAGAAGATACCAACAGAATGTAAAGGCAACATAAAAATATACACATAATTATTCCATACAAAATAATCTGATTTCAACCCAAGACTTATACTTAGTCTGGCCATAAATACTGTTACAATTAAAAATAAACAAAATATTACATTTGAATTTGGAATCTGTCATTTTTATATGATTGCTCATTGAGTTTTCTCATTTTGGCGCCAATACATTGGACAATATTTTGCGATATTAAAATGGAGTGGGGTTATAAAGAGAACCGAATCGCTGTGATTGCATTACACAAAGTAGGTATGGAGCCAAATGCAATTTTTTAAACTCTCCATACGCTTGGTATTAGTAAAATGTTTGTGTTCCGGGATATTAATAGGTGCAATGAGACCTCCTCTGTTTGTGACAGAAAAAGATCTGGCCGTCGACGTAGTGTTCGTACGAAAAAGGTGGTCAAAGCAGTAAGGGAAAGAATTCGAAGAAATCCTGTCCGAAAGCGAAAGATTTTATCTCGGGAGATAAGATAGCACCTAAGACCATGTCGCGTATTTTAAAAGATGACTAAGGACTCGCAGCCTATAAGAGACGTACTGGTCATTTCTTAACTGATAACTTAAAAGAGAATAGGGTGGTAAAATCGAAACAAGTACTGAAGCGGTACGCAAAGGGAGATCATAGAAAAAATTTGTTTACGGATGAGAAAATTTTTACAATTGAGCAACGTTTTAACAAAAAAAATGACCGTATTTATGCTCAAAGCTCTAAGGAAGCTTCCTAATTAGTCGACAGAGTACAACGTGAACACTATCCGACTTCAGTGATGGTTTGGTGGGGTATTAGCTATGAAGGAGTAACTGGGCCATACTTTTGTGAAAAAGGTATCAAAACATCGGCACAAGTATATCAAGATACCATTCTTGAGAAGGTAGTGAAGCCCCTTAACAACACCATGTTCAATAATCAAGAATGGTCCTTCCAGCAAGACTCGGCGCCAGGTCATAAAACTCGGTCTACGCAGTCTTGGTTGGAAACGAACGTTTCGGACTTCATCAGAGCTCAAGACTGGCCGTCGTCTAGTCCCGATCTTAATCCGCTGGATTATGATTTATGGTCAGTTTTAGAGAGTACGGCTTGCTCTAAACGCCATGATAATTTGGAGTCCCTAAAACAATCCATACGATTGGCAGTGAAAATTTTTCCCATGGAAAGAGTGCGTGCTTCTATTGATATTGGTCTCAACGTTTAAAGGGCTGTATTGCAGCCCTTGGAGACCACTTCGAATAAGCTTTTTATACTTTAAATTGTTTTATATTTATGTATTAAACTAACACACTGTAAAAGTAATAAATGTTATTTGCCATAGATTTTTTTTTGTTTTCCTTTGTAACAGTATTTATGGCCAGACTAAGTATATACTGATTGAAGATCAATTAAAAAAATCCACATGTTTCCCATCACATATTTTCACCATCAAAAATTGCATTGTATAAATAATTAACTTACTCTGTGGAATGGGTGATGACGGTTGAATACAACAAATTTTCCTCTTTTGTTGATGCTTTACGTTTTAATCTTTCTAACAAGACAATGTACGCCAGAATACCCAAAGATCCACCATACAAACCCATCTCTTCGAGATTTGTTATCATTCCTACTATAAGATTTTTTACCGCCTTCACAATCTGTAAAAAGGTACTAAGTCTTACAAGTGTGCCTTACAAAAGTGCCCTTTTTTGGTTTCAATTATAAAGGAATTTTATCACATTAGGATATAAATGCCACGGGGACGTTATTTATTTCCCAAAGCGACGCTTGAAAAAGGTATTTTTTTATTGCCTTTGTGGGCAGACGACCTGATGGTAAAATAGATAATTAACAAACAAAAAAATTAATTTTAATCTAAAACTTAATAAAATATGATAATGATATGTTTAACAATAAATTATAGCCTTAATATTACGAGTTTTTGATCGAGACTACCAGTTGACCTCAGATAATTCTCTGACCGTGCGCTCTGCGCCCTTTATCTCGAAAACAATTCAAAGTCTAAAAATATGATATTGATATAAATACAAATAGCGTAAAACCCATAGAAAACGAGATACATATTTGCAAAAAATGTAAAAAACATCGACTTTAAAACTTGCGACCATCCAATTATATGTGAATTTTGAGAACTGTTTTAGGATGTCAAAATACAAGTTTTTACTAAGTATAATATACTGGGTATGTCGATTTTCCGAGATATGCACCTAATTTGGCCGAATATGACTGGACTATGATTCTATCGAGAAAGTTAAAAAAAACGCGCATTAAGTACACAGTACTCAGCGGAGAGGTACTACAAAAAATTGTTATCTTATTTGTACATTCTTGTCTGATTATAATCATCGATAAAAATAAGGTTTCATACCTTGTTAGGGTCGTTCGAAATATCTCGTTGGCATGGTGTCTTTTTAAAATCTTTTGATGGCAGAGAGACAGGCAACTTAACACTCATCACAAGATTTTGTAGCGTATTAAGTAAACTTATCGCTTCCTTAGCTGCTTCCGACATTTGAGGCTTCCTGAAGTACTGTATAAACTCCTGGGGGTTGGTAGAGTAACTAAAAAAATTATCCTTTATTTTATTTTAAAGCTCGGAGAACGAGCTTAAAGCTCAGAGAACGAGCTTACGGCACACGCAGTGTTAAGTGGTTAACGGAGCCTATAGAAATGAACAACGAAAATAGCCATTTCTCAGTTTTACAGTACAATCAATGGCTGACCTATAAACTTATGAGGTTTCTCTAGTGCTAACATGTATTACGCTAGGTATAAAAGATGAATTCTAAATTACAGTAAGCAATGGCATAAAAAAGCGAGCGAGGCTGTGGTAAATAAGTTATAATAAAGTTTTTTCATTACGTCATAACTTCACCAAGATCATCAACAGTTGCGATGGTTGCATGAAACGTGTTTTCCAACTGCTTAAGTGTTTCCTCGATCTTAGATATTGATACATTCCCATTCAATAATGTCGCCGTTAAACCTGAAACGTATTACATTGGTTTTGTTTTTTTAATTTCATATTAGGATTCAAATTAGAAAATAACACGGTAAAGTCAAAATACTGAACACGATCTCTATAAAAAAAGTATCACAATGAAAATGAAAAGCGCATAATTTTTAAATTTGTATAGGTAATTACGGGTAATAATGAACTGGCATGGTTAAGTATCAGGATAATAGCTATTTGGAGTATTTTTCGTTGGTAGCCTAGGGGGTTATTCCAGTTACGCCCGGACAGGTAGGTGAGCTCACAGGCTCAACCTGAGAGAATTTGCTAGCGGTGTTTCGCTGAATCTACGACCGGATCGCAATCGCCACCCATTGAGAAGATCCGACGAGAAAATCAGTGGGCTGTGTGGTAAGTGACATGGTCACTACAAAAGGGGGTCGCGGGTTCGAATCCCGCTAAGGGAAGATATTTGTATGAAAAATACAAAATGTCAGGGTTATGGATGTATATTAAATATATGTAGGTGTATAATAAATATCTTATATTTATTTCCGTTATCTGGTACCTATAACACAAGTTCTTTACGAACTTACCACGGGACCAGTTAGCGTGGCGTGATTCTTAGTAAATATTTAATATATATATTAATAGGTTAGTTCATTCGTCGAACTTTTCGTCGTAAGTGACGAGATCAACCAGGACGGTGACCGGTGTTTGAGGGGCCTAAAAGTACTGAAAGTGGATTCGGCAAGACATGCTTCGGGCGACAACGGATTCGCGTTGCCCCGTCACCTGGGTCAGACAGGTTTATTTCGAAAGCAATATTACCATACGTAGAGAGAGGCTTGAAAAACAACACAGTCGTAGCTAAAAACAATTGCTGTAGCAAGTAGACGAGCGATAGTGATTCGTTCGGATGGACCGATATTATGGAAAACTAGGTATCGGAGCTCAAACAAACTGCTGCTATTTTCAAACCCCGCTTGAAGGTCACATCGTAGTGCTTAGGATGTATAGGTATTTTTTATTTTTTCACCACTATTTCATCTCAGAATCGGATTGAATATGTGAAAAATAATCTCTAGAATCGCACTGTGAATGAACGCTTTTTAAATGTTCCAGGTGGAAAGGGACGAACTCTGTCCCGGTAGTAGGCGGTGTAGTGTAGGGTAAAACAAGATGAAGGAGTCATCTCGAACCGAAGCCCGCAACCGCAAGTTCGTTGCGAATGTTTAACAACCACTCCAAGAGACAGTCTTCCGAATATCAAAGCTGGTTTATAACTATAAGAGAATCACCTATACCAGACCTATTCGATGGCCTTAAAAGGTTCATGATACCAGATTAAATTAGAGAAAACAGAATTCTTTACCAACACTGATTATTCTTATTATTTGTATCAACCTTTGAAATGTATTCATTTTCTTGACCTGCAAAACATTTTTTTTGAAACATAAAATATTATGTACGTAAAATTATTTAGTGTTCTCACCTAGAACTCTGGGCTGTTCGTGAGCTTTACAATTCAAAAAGTGCTTCATTATAACTCTCATTGGATGGTCTTCCACAGCATGATGACATTCATCAAATATAATCAGATTAATATCCTCAATTCTTATATATGCATGTGTAAGCATGTCACTTAATATCTGAGAGGTCATTACAATTACCTGAAAGTTTCAAGTAAATAATCGTTACTTCTGAAGCTTAAACAGGGTCCAGCTCTTTTCATTTCGAATCAAAACTTTCTTAGCTTGAAGAATTCCCTTATTGAGAATTGAAAAAAAGAGAGCAAATGATTCGAATTAATTTCTAGAACGTCTATAATATACATATTTGAGATCAGTTGATAATGGTATTCTATTTGATATAATAGAAATAAAAATGAATACATAGCTCAACCAAAAATATAGAAGGAAAACACCGATATCGTTTTTCTAGTAAGTACAATGTAGCGTATTAATCAATAGCGATTTAAAAATATGAAACTCATTCAAAATGTTATCGTATCGTGACAAATAGAATATCAAGAGCTATGTCTTTAAAAATATCTAGTTATTAATTGAACCGCGTACTTTGTTCATGAGAAAATTCGCCATTGCCAAAATTTTAGAATGTTTTTGACTCGAAATTACCTTGGCCTTAAAAGTATATCAACCTGCATATTATATGTTGCTCTATAATAAATTAAATCTCGTCAGTGATTCTGTGACTGCACACCGTTTAAGAAATATTTTTTATTTTAGTGCCCTATTTATTTAATGAAATCTAGTTTTGAAATCCGGCAGTCCGGTAAACATAAGCGATATATTTCTGGGTGCTCTCTACGTGATTTATTCAGATTAATTCCTACACTATGATGATCGGTTTTCGTATACTTTTTTTTTATTCTACTAGAACTGCCAAATCTTTTCTGTAGCAAAAAAAGAATGTTTCATTATACTTTTCATAAGCCCAGTACACCAGCATTCGACTTATACAAAGTAGGCGTTCCAAAAATCGCATTTATTTGCGTACCTACTTTGTGTAATGCTATCACAGCAATTCTGTTTTCTATTTTAATGTCACATGAGTATGTAACAAAAATGGCACGAAAATGAGAAAACACAACCAAACACGACAATGCATATTCCAATTTCAAAAGAAATATTTTTTATAACAGTACACGTTTATGCCCAGACTGACCATTATGCATTAGAAATCGATTTACAACTCTCTAAAATACCGTTTGATATTCCAGTAAATATTAGTACGAACAAATAATGAAATAAATATTAACGCGTCTCTTATCTACTCCTCATCGAGATGTACATGCTCCATCCTATAACAGAAGCTGTAGAGCATGGTTATTATTTATTTCATTGTTCATTATGTTAAACATGCAAGGGAGGCTAAACTTCCAATTTAGATAATAAATCTATAGTTGAGTACTTAAATTTTCAACTTAAATTTAACTAGGTTTTATTCGTTGAAAATTCAAATATGAATGTGTTAAATATGTTAAAGAATATAAAATATAGAATATGTTAAAGGTAATATGATCCACTTTTATATAGTATTAAAAAGACTACAAATTTATATGATTTAAGGTCATTTTTTAATCGAACACTAGATTTAATGCAATAATTGATAACTGGCCCCTCTGGTTACCGTCGCGAATGGGTAGAAAAAAAATATACCTGGTTTCGTGCCAGTTCAGAGTCCCAATCGGCTTTCTTCCAATAGTCTACCCCATCTTCGCTACTATAGGCACCAACACCGTCGACGGGACACATCATTTCAATTACATTTTTCTAAAATTAAAAACAGTCAGACAATTTCCCAAAATGTATTGTATACAAGTTTATATTGTAGGTTACTCATAGTATACTTAGGAAAGAAAAAATGCTCATCGTTTTTTTTAGATACATACGTAGATTAAATTCTATAATTTAAATATTGCGGCCGTGTTTTTAATTATTATATTCAACAGTAAAACAGCCATCTCTTCAAAATTATAAATATGCAATATTATCATTTTAATGAACTTAAATTAAAACGTTAGCAACACAATGTAAAGAAATTGAAAAAAATCTTTTATTGATCTATTTTAAATCATATTCTTTTATACATTAATCAACCTTAATAAAGGAGTGTAAAGTTCATAGTTCAATAAATTTCATTCGATTCGTCTTTTTTTTTTTAACTAGTAGGTGAGCTCACAGGGCTCAAACCTGACGACGTTTCTAACACGAACCCTAACAAGAGCCGTACTTTGCAGAATCTACCACCGGATCGGAAACGCGACCCACTGAAAGATCCAGCTAGAAACTCAGTGGGCTGTGTCTGTGGGTTAATTTACTCGTCGAGCCCTTCGTTGCAAGCGACGGGTTCGACAAGAACGATGACCGGATTCGTCTTCCCTACGCATAACCAGTACACTTCAGTGTTTAAATTGTAGTTTGACATATTCAAGTACACGGTGTGAAAATTATGCATTATACTGTAAAAAAAAAAAAAAAACATTCGGTTGGTTTTTAATTTAAGAATGTGCCGATAAGTTTATCCCCAAAAAAGTTTGCGTGAAATCATTTAAGAGCTTCTAGATTCCTCAGTCGTTGCCGTCGTACTGTGCAAGAACAACCGGGTCGGCGGTGTATCGCGTTCCGACCCGGCAGGCTGGTTCGGACCTATATAGTCTAGTCTCTAGTGAGCTATCCCGAACACCAGCGGCGATAGTAAACGATCGCCTTGACGACCCGTCGGCGTCCTGGGGTAGGCGCTGCGAGTATGTCTGTAGTAGTAGCTCAGCTACTACGGACACGCCTTCTAATTACACAACTACAACAATATAAAGAGCTAGCTCACGCCAAATGAACGATTTGACTACAACGACTATTAGGGCTGAAAATGAAGATTCTTATCAATACGCACTATTCTACACGTCCAGATTCGTTGTATGGACACGATTTTACATATTTCCTATAATCCTTCTTTTCGAACATGGTCTCAGAGAACAGCTCCAAGCCAAGAAAAAAAAAGCTACGATTGATCAGCGACCAACAACGGAAAGTAATTGGCAATTTGGATTATCATGCTGTAGCGACACTCGTACATACAAATGGTCGCGCGGACTCCGTCTAGAGCAGAGGCTGGTAACGAAAGGGTTCATTTTAAACTAAAAGAAAATTTGGGAAAATAAAATAGCTTATATGCCTGCTCTCTATACTTTATATGGTACTAGCGACCCGCCCTCGCTTCTCTTTGGAAACATGAAATTTTATTTTTGATTATTTACGACATCACATTAAGAACCTCAAAAAGAACAGTATTTCTCCACTATTTAATGGATGTTATTATACATATAAACCTTCCTCTTCAATCACTCTAATAATACATTATGTATCTAATAAATCATTATGTCCATAAATACATTGAGTCATGTTCACGACATGCTTTGAAATGGTTAATTAAATGAATTCTTTTAAACACTACAAACATTTTCCTGTTGGCATGAAACCTGACTTATCCGTAGCGAAAAACTGCTGATTGCGAATATACAGAACTCTTTAACTTACAATATGTCAGTTAAAATACACAACCTTTCAACCCTGAATCACGTTTAAGTTGTTTTTTCAAACTCAGTTAGTTGGTAATGTAGTTTAATAGTGAATAAATCACAACCTTCTCAATGATAATTTCAATTTTGAATTTAAGATAGTTTTTATCTTTATCTATACATACTCGAGGTTGGTCAATTTACAGATAACTAGTGCTCATTGCTCAGACCTCACCAAATGAAGAATGAAGGTTCCTTTTAAGGACCTTTTTAATGAAGGTTCTAATCAGCTTTATGACGAATCTGTAACTATAAAGTTAGGGCTATACCCTATGAGTGACAGCAACAACTAACAATCGCTTGGTCAGTAAACTTTATCTGCCTTGTATGACACTAAAAATTTTCTATCAATGTGGTTGAATAGTGACTCTGATAACAGATGAACAGGTTTACTGACTTCTTATACTAATTTTTATAACAAAAAAATGTGTAGGCACCTGTTGATTTACTAACGGAACTGTGTTTACAAGAAAGAAACTGCGTTTCCCACCTTCTCCCCAAGGCTTTTTTAATTGGTTACGGAACTTTTTTATAAGCCTCTGAGCAATAAAAGTTTTTCCAGAACCTGAAAATAGCATTATCAAAATTTTAGCTTTTAAATTTTTTCTGAGAAATGTGTATTTAGAAGCTCCTGTAATGCACCATTATGAGTTTTGTATGCATTTCCAGTTATATTATTATTATAGTAAATATTACTGCCAGCTTTATGTTACTTAGCAGGTCATCATCACAAATTGTTGTGTTTTGTAATAGAATCAATCTTTAATCTATTTAATAAAAGAGAGAACTAGCATTTTGGAAAATGAAAACTGGAATCTTTTGTTGGTTACTCTTTGTGCTGAGAAATATAGTAATCGGCAAACTTCTTGAGCAAATGACCTTGACTGCGCAGAACCGAATTTTAGATCACTTTGGTGGTGAGGGTGAGGCGCGACGGCAGGGGAAATCGTATCGAGCGCGTTATTGGTAGATCAGTCGAACCTTGCGTCCCGCACCGCGCCCTCATTCCGCTTGCTCCCAAAAGTACGCTTGCGTACAGTGGAAAGTCTATCGTTATTAATCGTTAAGTTATTTGTTATAATTGCTTGTGGACTTTGTTGCCATTGCTATTTGTTGAGTGTTTGTTGATTTTTTATAAAACATACACTATGCCGTGACAAACTGGTGTAGTACTTAAAAGAAAGGGTAGAAAATTTGTGTACGACGTATATTGCTTCATTATAAAACAGGGGAAGAATGATATGGAAAAATTAAAACAGACTTCGGAAGCAACAAAAACATCAGTGAGTACTGTTAGGTGCATTATTAACGAAGCTAAAGGCTCTGGCTTGCTCGCCGTGTTTCGGACTCCGGGTAAGAAAAGATCAGGGAAGAAGAAAGTTACCGGAATGGATAGTTTCGTTCAATCTGTAATAAAAAGATGTAATCATAATAACTACATAACAAGCAGCGAAACTCCGTACCGTAGAAAGGCTTCGAAAAATTTAAAGAAGATATAAATTTTAATGGCTCGGAATGAAGCTTACGACGAATTATGAAAGAGCTAGGCTTCAGATGGAAAAAAAGAACAGAAAATAATCGGAAGCTGGTAAATGAAAAAAGTAACATTCGATTACTACGAATCGAATATCTTCAAAAAATAATTAATTATAGACAAAAAAGAAGACCGAATCGACCGAGTTGTAAACTACGCCGATGAGCCCTATGTCGACTCATCACGATGATAGCGACTCGGGTGATGAAAACAGTGATGATGATGATGGTCAAGATTATGATAACGAAAAAAAAATTACAAATACCAGCTTCGCTTCAACTGAACCAAGACCTGGCAACAGCTCTAGTTTTGACTTAATAGAAGGAATATCTATTTTACCCCAAGATTAAATTATTACAATTATTAACCTATATGTTTTGTTGATGTTCTAATAAATATATAAATAAATACATATGTTGATTTTAATAATTTAATAGCATTATGACGCAGAGTAAGTAATGTTTTTGCACGTGAGTGTACCATGCGCAAACTTACCCCCACTACGTCAACAAATGCTCAAGAAGTTTGCCGGTTATTATACCATGTCTAGTGATATGACACATAATGATAAACAATATTGAAACACTGTTAAATGATGATGCAATATTTTTTATTTAAAACTAAAATAAATTTTCTGGGATAGTATAATAAAACCTGAGATGAAGTTTCACCCACATTATATGTAGAATTTATGAATTCTATATTAATCTCTCAGGGGAAGAATTTTAGATGTTAATTATGTATGGTACCCAGAGTTGCATACCCAAGCTGTTAAATCCAAAAGGCATGCCTGGTGTTTTATTCTTGTTAAGAAAATGTGTATTCTGTAAACATGTTTGTTCATTTTTTGTCAATATTGTTGTACCTTTTGTCATAACAATCTATTTGTGTGTATTAACCTTATTGCACAACAGTCGGTTTAAGGGTAACTATCAGTACTATATCACAGTTCACAGTACTTACCAGTAGGCAAATGAATTATTGTATTTTTTGAACTTGCTATTTCTTCCAGTATTGCTTGATAGGGGCGAGCTTTCTGTTCGTGATACTGTATTCCTTCTGTTGTAGTCATTTTACTTGTGCATGCAGAATTTGGAAGTTCTAAATTATATTATACATTATAAATCAGTTTACTAATGAAAATATCATATTTTAGAATGTTTGCGTTTATTGTTATTTGAACGGAATGTTTTATATATAAATTAGGTAAATAATTATGAAATAACTCATATTGTCGACATACCTATTGTTATTTATACGACACATTTTTTATTTTGTGATTTTCCGAACCAGTTTTATTTGAAAAAAATATAATAAATTAAAAAAGACATCAAATAAAATTAAGGGATGAATTTTAAATATTAAAATGTATGTTTATTTGGATATAGTAGATAGGTACCTAGTAATATACTCTTGATAAATGCAAGAAAAATAAACTTACCGGTTACATACCAGGACTGTCATAAAATATGTATAATAGTAAGCATTTATTTTTAATCTTAGCCGGTACGACTACGAAACCTTTCTAAGCGTATAAAAAATAAAATATAAACTTCAAGAGATTTCTTATGTCACGTTCCTCTTTGAATGTCTATGACTACAACTTTACTACGTACACCAAGCCTCAAAAAGTAAAGTAGGGGAAGTACCTTATAGAGATAACATAATAATTTGACAGTTGCAACATTAAATGCTAAATATAATAAAAAAATAAATTAAATGCTAAACGCAAATGTACCGTTTGATGTTCATTTTTTTTTAAAGTGTAAAAGCGTCCGTTGATTACAACATAAGTTAGAAGTGAAAATATTTTAAATTTAGCGCCATAAACTACCACACTTCACTTCAACCCAACACACTTCATTCTTTTTAAAACTGCTGTATAACTTAATCACATTAGTGCTATTTCGGTAAGTCGGTATTTCGTTAAGTAAGTAATTTCTAAATAACTATTGTTTTCGGTTTAAGTATGTAAAGTTAGTAGGTACACACATTACCTTCTTTCTCTTTCGAGAACGATTCATATAGTCCCTGAAAAAATATTAGTGATAGGCTATTTTTTGTATTCTAGATTTTCAGCATTTATAACAAAAATAATTGAGACGGAACTCGAGTCCAGAATACCATGCAAATATTCGAATGCAGCGTCAGTACTCGAGTAGCTTACTAAATTCTTTTACGTTTCGTTTACGTTACATATTTCATTTACGACTATAAACCGTTATTTCAAACTAAAGATAAAGCAAGTTAAAAATTGTTAAGAAACATTTCGACGTTTAGGTGCGTATTGTTGTTACTCGAATCAGTTCTCAACTACTCTGTCTTTAAATAGTCTATTAAATGAAGAATAATTGAGTACTTATGTGAGTATTCGAGCAGGTATCGGGTAGTTTTCAATCACATAAAAAGAAGGTATCGGGTAGTTTTCAATCACATAAAAACAAAAAATAATTATATAAATTTAAAGACAATACAAAAATATTAAACCTAGTGAAAAAATTACTTGAATATCTCTAAAAATGACGACACTGTGAATTTTTTAATATCACCCACACGAAAATAAAAAGCCGCGCGACCATTCACGGTCATACGTCACAAGTCTCGTAGGCCGCCCTGTGCGGGGCGGGACGCACTAAAACTGTTTAGTTCGGCAGGGAGATTCGTGTTTTATGCTCGCATTACTATCTCAGGACACTATTTTAATTATTTATATTTATTTTATTAAACCACTGCTACTATTTTCCCATGAGAGGTATGGAAATGTTTAAATAAGACATACATAACCACGACCACTCCGTTAAGAGTGTACGACTGAGAAGCAAAGAAAGACTATTTCAGACGTGGCGTGTGTGTTTATAGACTTTTTGACTAACAATCCGTTGTATACAAGTGCAGAAATATGAGGCGTAAAGGTTTCAAAGTAAGTGACTACCTACATACCTACCTACTTAAAATTTAATCTGCTGTACTTTTACATCTTATTTATTATCGTTTTATTTGTTTTTGGTAAAAAATATCTACGGAAATACACACACCTCTCTTAGTACTATATATTGGTATACTTAGTATAATATACTGGTGGTAGGACCTCTTGTGAGTTCACATAGGTAAGTACCACCACCCCGTCTATTTCTGCCGTGAAGCAGTAATGCGTTTTGGTTTGAAGGGTGGGGCAGCCGTTGTAACTATACTGAGACCATAGAACTCATATCTCAAGGTGGGTGGCGCATTTAAGTTGTAGATGTCTATGGGCTCCAGTAACCACTTAACACGTATTTTTATTTATTTATTTTTATTGCTTATATGGGTGGACGAGCTCACAGCCCACCTGGTGTTATTTTTTGTTTTTATTTAAAATGTAATTAAAGTATTTCCCTTAATAAATTTATAATTATATGAGTAGTTAAGTATTATTAGATCAAAAGATACGGACATAGATACTTACATCACTAGTCGCTGCGACGTCCCGAGACGGGCGAGACTTATGATGTCAGCACTAGGCCGGCCGGCCGCGCGTCATACGATTTCAAAATGGGAGGAAAACCTTCAGAACTCCGTCATTTAAAAAGATAATTAAAAAAAAAAGAACATTAAGATTTATTGCAGTCTTAGTGTGAGTATTATATAAGAAAATTAAAAAAATGCAAACTTCCTTATTACAGAGCATAATGCGACTCAGTGGCACACAATGCCGAATTATGCTGAAGCTTACTTGGAACGTGAATAGTTTTCAAATGCATCAGCAGAGTGCGCTAAGTTCAGAGTTGAAAAAAGAAATAATGGAGCTAGTAACCTCATTAATGTATAAATAATGTGGTAAACAATAATAATTGGTTGAAAGCTATTTACGGTTATTTTAAGTAATTTGGATTTTGATTATTTCATTATCATTTTTTTACGTTTTGAGTAATTTTTTTAAATGAGTTCTAAGAAAATTACACTTTTTAATTGAATCATCTTATCCAGATGATAGTGATGACGATGATTTATCGAGTGCTCCGAGTTTAAATCAATCAATTATTTCATTATCAAGTGATATATGTATTTATTGAAAATATACATGATAACGAAACAGATGAGTTATTTGAGTCATTAATAAAACATCTATTGACAGGCAGTACTTTTGAGAGTGCTCGACTGTGCGAAGCGTTGCTGTAGTTGGAACATTCAACGTTGAGCATTATGCCGCTTAATGCGCTCTAGTGCTGTAATTGGAAAGCTACCTTGATATGCGTTGTCCTGATTCGAACACCACTACCTACTAAATAAAAAACTTGACATATGGCCTAAAGGTACTAGGCCTTAGACTCCAAATAAAAAAAGACGACATTGACACTATTGACAGGACTTTTTGGCGGGAACGCGAGGAGTGAAGTTGTGTGATTTGTTTTATTTTGTATATTTAGTGTTTCTTGAGGTTTAAATGTGTAATAGCGGTGGTTTATTTTAATATCTGTGAAAGTGCACAAATGTGGGAAAATGAAACAAAGCCGCTGGACATAACTTCTCGGGATCACTCAAAAGGTCCCCTGAAAAAATCTCAGTAAATGACCACCATTTTACTGAGATTATATTTCATCCCATGTTATATCATTTTATTTAATTTCATCCCAGTCGATTAATCTCTAAAATTAATCATCTTCATTTCATATCATATTATCATTTTTCATAAAAATAAGAATATAAATTAAGATAAGACATGAGATAAAAGTCTTAGTTACCAGGTCATAAAATCCTTAAAAAAAACTGACATTGACATTTGACAGTGACAGCAAGCATTATTCTATTACTATCACTATCGGTGTTGATAATAAATTTAAATTATTTTATTAATTAATATCTTGTTGATTCAACAAGAGACGAGTAGTACAAATTAAAATAACGATGTGTTAAACTTTTTAAACCTAGTTGAAGTTAAATTCGCATAAAAAATAAATACAATGTAAAAAAATGAGAATGAATTACACATTTTTACTTATTCTTTTAAAGGTTACTTTCGTGATGCCTGGTGGTATGTATTAGTACGTGATAACTTGGTGATTTCGCTGATAAAATAAGGTGTTTCAAAATTCAATTTGAAGTGCATTTACATGTTTAGCTTTAACTTATATCAATGAAGGACCTACATTATTTACTTTACACTTATTTTGTACATGACTTTGTTGAAGAAAGCTCTTGAATATTTTGTCTGTTTCTTAACGTTTAGTCATTCTTATTTAAATAATTTTCATCTATAGCTTGAAGGGACAGAGTACGGAAGATTATTAAAAATATATATAAATTAACACGAATAAACAAATAAACTCACCTGCCAAATATTCAATAAAGTTTCGAAAGCTGCTGCCCCTTTTAAGTCATTAGGTTGAAATCGTACTTTCATTGTCTTTGTAAGTCTCTTATATTGTTTATGAAGTTGTATTAAATAAATGGAGTCTTTTAAAAATTTCAGCTAATGATCTGCACTTTTATGATGGTTCCTCTACTGCAGACGTCATTGCAGGTGATTTCTTTTTTGAGATAATAGATCCACCGGAACTTGGATACTCATATAGAATAAGACCAGCAAAAGATTTCGGATCTGTGTTTGTAAGTTTTTCTTTTATTTTTGTATGATTCTTTCATGGTTCAATAATAACAGACATAATACATAAATTAAAAGTAAAACATACTGGGTTGGATATTAAAAAAACACTAGCCAGGATACAGATTTCCTTATTATCACAATAAGTCTTATCTAGGTAAATTTCTGCTGATTAATACTTTTGAAAGGAAATCCTTACAGCAATTTTGTTGACCTCTAGCAGTTTCATAATTAAAGCTTGTGTAGTAAATCTTTAAGTCAATCATGAACATTTGTTACATATGTAGAATAGGGATCATAGTGCATAAAAAGTTACACTATTCCAAAATATTCTATTATAATAGTAATTAATAATTAACACTAATTTTATTACGTCTTACTCATTTTTCAACCGTCTTCGCCGTCTTCCAATTCTCTGTCATTTTATCTGTCTTTCTTTCCGTTTCCTCTCACTCACATCTTAACGCTCCGTTCCACACTCTTTTCATACGTTCCGTTCTTACCAATCCTACACATATGTATTTGATTAAAAAAGTAGGTACCGAGTTGGTAGTAGGTTCTGAACACAGTTGAATTGCTTGATAACTAATCAGTGGGAGTTTTATCCTTTAGGCCACTATGACTTCAAAGTTATTCATTTACTACCTAAACTGATGCTAGCCTCTGTGAATTCCTACAGCTATATATATTTTTTTTGGAGTTTATGGTTTTGGAGTTTTGGTTTATGGCCTGGTATCTAGACCTACTGCAATGTTGGTGGAGTCTAGGGTTGCCAGATCTTCAAATTTTTTATTTTTTTTAATTTTTTTTTATTGCTTAGATGGGTGGACGAGCTCACAGCCCACCTGGTGTTAAGTGGTTACTGGAGTCCATAGACATCCACAACGTAAATGCGCCACCCACCTTGAGATACAAGTTCTAAGGTCTCAAGTAGTTACAACGGCTGCCCCACCCTTCAAACCGAAACGCATTACTGCTTCACGGCAGAAATTAAATAAGTAAATAATGTTGCAATTGCTTAAAAAATTAAGCATTTTTAATTCTGGCCTGATCACAATAACGTTAATGGTCATCTGTTAGTGCATCTGACTTTAGTTAATCTCTTGGTGGATGTGATTGTAGAATGAAACCCTACACTTCCACAAGGCTCGTTTAGTACCCACAGTGCCGTTGCATAGTTGTTCTGAGATAATCAACCATGAAGAATTAGTTGGGCACATTGCACTATCCGAGAGAGGGTAAGAAAATTCCTAAATAAAGTAATTACATATCTGCTATATTATTTTTATTAAACAATACAAATTTCAGAGAATGTTCCTTTGTTTTTAAAGCTACCAAAGCGCAACATGCTGGAGCTAGAGCTGTGATAATTACTGAATCAATTGATAGATGGGATGATTCTTTGGATCACCTTATAGAAATGGTTGATGATAAGTAAGTATTCATTTAATAACTGTTATTGCTGACACTATTATTTTCATTATTATTTAATTATCATTCATAAGACATATTTACAATTTATTTAGTCACAAGTGATCTTATAGCTCAAACGGCCCCACCAAGTTTTTTTATTGCATAAAGCAATAATGCATTCTGGTTTGAAGGATGTGATAGCCAATAGACAATGCAATTGAGATGATGTCCTTGTGTGATAAGGATCTCATTATCTCTAAACTCCGGGAGCACCATTTGCATGCTGAGAAAGTTCACATGTCCTTGAAAAAAACATTTTTTGTTGATTGTCTTGTTTCCTTGGTAGGTAGTTAATAAATAGATTTATGCTGGGTCATTATGTACTGCTTAAAGTGAATAACCAAACAACTGTCACCCTTCAATTAATTATTTATAACTTGAAATTTAAGTATTGTAGAATTATTTAAGTATCCAAGCAATTCTGCAGCTGACTCGATATGGGGATATTGTTTTTAATACCTCAGAAGGTAGTTGAGCAGCTTAAATTTTGACACAGGTATATGTATATTATTCCTAAAAATTAATTCTGGCAATTACTGCCACTGATAACAATTCAAATAGAAAAGTGTTGTTTGTCTAATATTTTTGGGTTGAATGGTAACACAATCTAAAGTCTATTGGCCGGTGTCGCATCAGCTAGAGCACTTGGCTGAACATTCCAGACTATGTTTTTATCCAATTTCAAAGTAAAAGTATGTAGTAAAAACTCTCGATATTGAACTCCTTTTTTCCCTCTCTACTGCTAGTAGCCTCATGGGGTAATACTATCTTCACCGAATATGTAGGCGTGCATGTAGAACTAAATATTTGCAAAATTGTTTAAGTTCAGTGTGTGAAATATTTTTACATTTGTTTTGTATCTTTTCAGAATGGAGCTAGACGTAAACATTCCTGCAGCATTCCTTCTCGGCCGCAGTGGAGCCACGATACTGCGTACGCTGAGACGTTTAAAAAGAAAATATGCTATAGTCAATTTACCAGTTAATATGACTCATGTACCAATAAATAAAATGAATCAACCCCCCTGGGTAGCATGGTAATATCTAATTTATTTGAAACTGGAACAGAAGGCTAAATGTGCGTTTATGTTAAAGATAAATAATAAATACGTTATTGTGGCGTCTTGACCTGACTTGACCCTGATCACCTGATATCAGATCCCAAATATCCAATTAATTTATTTTTCTGTCTGTGTAATGTAAGAAATAAATTGTTCTTTAATTGTTAGTGTATGTACTAATTATTACAAAAGCTACTGGACCTATTTGAGTATGCGGTACGTTTAAAATAACTCAGGCTATGATTAGTCTTAAGACTTGTATAAATTTGATCTCGCTGTGATGACGTTTTCTCTGTATTTACAGAGAAAAAAAAACATTAAGTATAATATCATTTGGCAAGGAATTTAAACATTATGTAGCTCTAGCTATACAAGAGTTTTTATTTCAAATTTATGACGCGCGTAGCGCCACAGGTGAATCCAGCTAGTAATAAAAATAGGAATCTCATGAAGCAACAACGAAACGTGAAGATTAAATGATTACTGTATACATATGAATATATTAGTAAAATAAAAGTACAAGGAAATTTTCAGTAACACAATTTGACTTACCTACTTAATTTGTGAACTGAATTCTGTATTGGTTATTTATAAAAATAGCTTTAGCCTGATTGGTTTATAAAGCATATTTGTCAGTAGAAAACATATTTAAGACACGAATCACGTGAAGAGCAAAACATTTTTACAACAACATTTTTAGTATGTTATTTTAGAATTTGACAGTTGAACAGTTTCGTAGTGCAGAACTGCTATGCTAGTACGTCCTTCTGTATCCCTCTGCCATATTTATTTGGTTGCTTCGATTGCTGCCAGGCTTTGAAGTTTTGACTAGAATTACATGAACAAGAAGAACATATTATCATGAACTTTTTTTTTCCAAGCAAAAGTAATTGCCTCCTGTAAATTTCAATGTGCTAGCAAATTCGAGCAGTCACCTGTCTTAGCTTAGGCATTGAAGGATAGGATAGGTAATAATTTAAAAGAAAAAAGTAGGCAACATAATTATTGCATATTTTTTATTATTGAACTGAGATTAAAAGAGTTGAGGCTACTTTCAAAAAAACTAGATACTAAATTATCATGGACCCCTTTTGCCCCATTACGTCGAAGTCCCTCAAAGCGTAGACGAAGAACTCAGTACAAAGCGTGAAAAAGCTACATGTGATTATATTATAAGTTTGGAATTATGTTGATATAATCTTAGTAAATAATATGAACTGTTTTTTTTGTTAGGTAAGTACTAAAAATCTCAACGTTCCCTTATCCTTCCTATAAAAATAAATAAATATAGAAGCTGTATAGGTTGCCGAATTTCAGACCGATAGTATTTACTGATAGTAGGACGTCTTGTGAGTACGCACGGGTAGGTACCACCACCCTGCCTGTATCTGCCGTGAAGCAATAATACATTTCGGTTTGTAAGGTGGGGCAGCCGTTGTATTATTAAAATTAAGACCTTACATTTCTGTCTCATTTATGTTGTATATGTTTATGGGCTCAGGTAACCACTTAACAGCAAGTGGGCCGTTAGCTCGTCCACCTAGTTAAGCAATTAAAAAAAACAGCAAGATATTGAAAAAATATATGGCAAATTCTGAACCGGATCAATAGGGTACACACGTGCTGCAAGTAAAACAAGATAATACTAATTTCCTGTTTTTTTATGAGGGATTACTGGTGGCGGTACCATAGGAGACCTAACAACTCGAGAGAATGAATGTACTATCGGATTGGATTTGCATGAGAAGATCCGGCAAGAAACTCAGAGGGGTGATGCATGGGTTAGGTTGTACGTCGAACTCTTTGGCGAGTTCGACGAGTACAGTTACCGGGGTCCCTATGCCTGCTGCTAGTGTTAGAGCTGAAGGCGTCTAGTGCAAGAGTTATTGGATCTTACGGATCCTTAAGAACGTGTATAGGGCGTCGACGTTGACTGGCCCCTGCGTGATCAGGATTCGGGGAGTAGTCAGCGGCGGCAACGATAAGGCGATTATCATGACACATTGTCTTATGGAAGTAACGTTCCCACGCTGTCTTAATGTGTTTTCGTTTCGATTCGAGGCCCAGGTCGTCGTTTAAGTCGACGTTCCTCACGAACCGCTCCGGAGCTCCGACAGCTAACCTGGAAAAACAGGATTGTAGGGATTGGAGAGTGTCTATAGATATGTGTGCGGGCTGCGTTCCACGAGCGAACACTACACTCGCGTAAGTCATGACGGGCTTTATGCAAGTTTTGTAAAGTTTCACCTTGTTCCGAAGAGACGTTTCTCTCCGCTTACAGGTCACGAGGTAGAGTCTGTTAGGAGTAAACGCGGCGCGGTCGCGAACTAATTTTCTATGCGGGCGGAATGCCATTGATGCATCCTGGGTGACTAGGTACTTGACCTTCCTGACCCAGGGTACCTACTTATTGACGGGCCGAAGAGGGTGATCGGGGGAGTGAGGTTTCAACGTCTAATGCGGGAGGATATACGGGTTGAGTTCCCTCTTTGAAAGAGCACCGTTGTGCTTTCGCTGGGTTGATGTCTATGCGCCATTTTCGGAACCACTGTCCGAGGGTTACGGCTGTGCTCTGAAGTTTCCTTGCGATTAGGGACTTGTTTCTACTCGAGTAGTAAACGATCGTGTCGTCGGCGCATGGGTCGGCTGTGGAATGTCGTTAGGAAACAAACTAAAGAGGAGCGGAGAGAGGACAGAGCTTTGTGGGACTCCGGCCGTGAGAGGTCGCACGGCGGAGCGGGTTCTCTTGACTCGATATCGAAAAGAGTGGTTCGAAAAGAAGACCCGTATGATGAGCACGAGGCTGTTGTACGCATGTTGAATAGTTTGAAAATCAAACCCTTGTGCTAGAGTGTGCAACGCTTTGCGACGTCGAAGAAGAGGGCTCCCGCGTAGAACGGTTGCTTATTTCCTAGACCAGGTATTTATACTATTTATATAATTGTAAGCATTTGTATAACATGCCTTCGAATGAAACTCAAGTGTGAAATCTATTCGCCGTTTATGTTTATGAAACGTCCTTTCCACGTCCTCCAATGCATTTGTGAACAATGTGGGGGATATAACATCCCTTTGTCTCACTCCTCGATGCAGAGCGATGTGTTCAAACTGCCAGTTCTGGATTTAGACGGTCATAGTCGCAGCGCTGTAAAGACATTTCATCACTTGGATATATCGCTAGTCTACTTGGCAATGCTGCAAGGTTTCTAGAACTGACCAGGTTTCGATAGAGTAAAAAGCCTTCTCATAGTCCACGAAAGCTAAGCACAGGGGCTCATGGGTCTTCTGTATATTGTGTGTATGTAGTCTATGGTGCTGTATCCTCCTTGAAACACTCGTCGAGTCTCCGCGCGGGACGATTTGTGATGACTCTTGAATACAACTTGTAAATGTGGCTCAAGAGGGATATGAGGCGATAGTTTCTCAACAGGGTTTTGTCAGCATTTTTGAAAAACAAAACGACCACGCTCCTAATTTACGCCTCTGGAGTTTTCCCTTCGAATAGGACTGAGTTGAAGATTTCTTTCAGAAGCTCAGTTGTGATTCCATCGTCCGGAGGCTTTTCCATCCTTAAACTGTCCAACAGCCATCTCAATTTCGCTAAGGCTAATTTCCGGCAAGTCATCGGTAAAGTAGCGCATCAAAGTAGCTCTTGAATCTTCATTTTCGTGATCAGTACGAGAAACATGTGAAGCGTATTGCTGGCTATAAAAGTTTTCAACCTCGGATAAAATCTCAGGCTTAGAAGTAACGACTCCTCCACTGGATGTGGTCAATTTCGTTAAGTGGCTCCTCCCCAAAGATTGGACGAATACTTTCGACCTCCGATTTTGCTCGAACGCTATAGATCGTGTATTTGGAGCATCGAAGATCGTATCGTACCAGTTTGTTAATTTTTTTGTTGAGTGCACGGTATTCTGATTAAGTGACAAGTGAATTTTTACGTTGCTCTCTCATAAAACCCCGGGTTTCATCCGAAACCGAAACACTATCGCATACCAGGCTAGATCATGCCCTACCCGGTTGCTATAAAGATATCTAGAGATCGTTAATTACATGTCCCTCTTATCCATAGAAATATTAATAGTAGTATTAATAATCGTATATTTGTTGAATAGTAGCAGTGTCATAGATTTTTAATAAATTCAAGAAAACTTGCTAGAATTTATCAGCCGGTGCTCGTGTACCTACGCGAGTGCGCCGCGCCATTGCGACGCCAAGCGTATCAAACATTCAAAGCTATCGACGTTCCAAAGCCATTTTGTCGCGGAAGTTCTACTTGTTGGCGAGCATGGTACATTAATTTTATTAGAATACAGACTCGTTAACGGGGAAGAAAAGTGCTACAATATTTTTTTCGGGCCGTCTATAAATTTCAGCCACGAGAATTCGATTGGGTTAAGTGATGTCGATATTTCCGATTCAAGTCGATTTTTCAAAAAAATCATTTTGTATACAATTTTTTTCCTGACAATTAAGAACACAAGGTAAACTCAAAATAATTGAATCGGTCGAGTTCTCTAGTGATACTTCAACGTACTTGTACGAATTATTGATTTAAATCTATAGGTGTTTCCCGAGCGCTATGACACGTCCTTCTTTAAACGTGGCTTGTGGAGGGTATTAACCGGTAGGCAGCGGCTTGGCTCTGCCCCTGGCATTGCTGACGTCCATGAGCGACGGTAACCACTCACCATCAGGTGGGCCGTATGCTCGTCTGCCTATACGGCAATAAAAAAAAAGATAAATAATGCCACTCACTTAGTAATATGATCGTTATATGTATATATAATCTCAGTTCTACTAACGGCTGCCTTTCCAATCGAACCAGAAAGCTTGACTTCAGGTGAAAATTTTGAAATATATTAGATGAGTGAGTGCTATTTCAGTTTTATGTTGAAATTCCGATAAAGACTTCACTAGTATTGTTATCATATCAATGAGATCGTAGTTAAATGCAACAATAATGAATTGCATACATTTTAAATATATTGAGATCTTTTGTTTTTTACGCTACAAAAAAAAAAACTATATGTAGGTATAAACTTATTACAAATATATCATGACAGCCAGTTGACCAGTGTTGCTTTGTGTTTTACTGTTGTTTTGTTTAATCGAGCTTGAAATGCCAGCAGAATGCGAAGGGGCATTGTCATTTTTATCGTTGCACTTAATTCACTGTTTTTTTGTGAGAATTTCTTGAAACACAAAGAAAATTAAAAATTTGTCGTTGCTCGTTTCACTTTGATATGATCAGTTGAAGCGTTCATAGATTTAGGAGTATTTATGTTCAGCGCATCTCCCAGCGGCACTATTCTTAAAAAATTTCAAAACTAGGCAAGGATCAGATAATATTTCCATTAAGGCTTACGTAAAGCAAAATGTGTTCATGATTGATCAAGAACATGGTGACTAAAAATTAAAATTTAACGTTTTTTAACATATAGTTGTAATCATGTTAATGTTTGTGAATTATTTATCTTAGTTACTAATGCACGATTTGAAAAATGGCTCATTTTAATTGGTCGCTACTAAACGTATACCGAATTATTCATTATAATAGCAGGCTGTGTGGTGTCTAGTGTAGCACCATACCGTCTCTTCCGTTTGTATCGTTAAAGATGACCAAGGGAATGCGGCGAATAGGCAGCGAATAGCGGCTTGGCTCTGCCCCTGGCATTGCTGAAGTCCATGGGCGACGG